AAAGCCAGGCCTTTAGGTTTGCAGCAAAGGAAATGAATGGTGCTTTAGAATTGCTTTTCAGGACTAAAATCTTCCCCTTTGGGCAAATAAAGGACAGAGAAACTCAGGAAGACTATTTAGGGAGGGGCCAGTAGGGTAGTTCAACACTTTCTATTGCTCAAATTCCTCCTGGATCTTCAGCCAAAGCGTTTTGCAGACCACTTCCACCATTGTAATGGCCAGCCGGACTCTGGAGAAGAGAAGAAAGGAACCAACCAACTTTCTGTTTCTGTTACTTTTCAGGCTTTTACAGCCTTATGAAGTGGATGATTCTTTGAAAGTCTTTCCTGCATTGAAGAATCAAGCTGTTTTTTTTTTTTTTCTGGATAGAAATTCTTGAGGGACTTAAGGTAAAGACACAATTGAGAGTTTTTCTGGAGTGGCTTCTCTCAAACTTATTAAGTACTTGCCCAAGAATTACATGAGCTCTGGTTGATATCCTTTTAGAAGAATTTGTGACTGAGTTCTGCTGACGTCATAGGACTATTACTCAGGAATGTGTAAACGTATTTCAGATTGATCAGCTCTGGTACCAAGTTGTATAAACACAAATAAATCATTTATGAGTACGGTGCAATTCATGATGCAATGTGTCTGAAGGGAGCATTCCGTTTTGCAGGCATTCACATAGCATCGTAAGAGTTATAGTACAGTATTTGCAAGATGGAACTTTGAAGTCTCACACACATCCATATGTGTATTTGCAAGTTCCAGGGCAACCCAACTAATGGAGAATTGATTAAAAGTGATTGTATCAGCATGAGTTTTTGTGGAACAAATAGTTAAAAGTAAGAATGGGTTGATGTGAGGAGAAATTGAATTGCTGAGATTGATGGAAGGTCAACAGTGGTGGTAACAATTTAAATGTGGTTCCCAAGGTCAGAGGCAGCAAACTGGTTAATATTTAAGAGGATACTTGAAACATGTTCTGGTGAGAATCAATCAAGAATTCGTAGCACTTCAACATTTTATTTATTTATTAGAGGCTATATATGCAAATGCCTGCTGTAGAAGTTTTATTAGACTATTTCTAGTGGCAAATATAAAATATACACCACTGTAAAACAACATTGGCATAAAATCATTTTTGTGTAGATTGGAGAGTATTGGTGGTCCCTGAGAAGATTGTAGGTGATTCGAGCCATAAGCAGTGTCATTTGAGAAAAAAAATGAAATTGGCCCGAATCTTGGCACTGTGAAATCATGCAAGATTTTGTCGTTCTCATTTGAATTCTCCTAAACCTGGCAAGTGAGAATTCACAAATCTTGTGAGAATTGATGATATATAGTTTGACAGGGTAAAGAGATGTTCTGATTTGCTCCTTTAGTATTCAGCAAGTTGTCATCTTCATGCCTTTTCTTCTTGATCACCCAAGCTCCAGATTACCCAAGAAATTATAGCAATATTTCCAACCATATTAGGAAACACTTGGGAAATACTTGCAACTTGGACAGGCAGCAGCTACTGCAATTGGCATATTAAATAACATGCCATTCTGGATTCTCCATCAAATCAGTTAAGCAGATTAAAAAAAGAAGCAGACCTATTTAATCAACTGGGGTTTCTATGGGTCATCATGATTAGATACCAAGATAAAAAGGCCAGCCTTGGTAAATGCTTCAAGAATGGAGGAGAGGAATAGCAGCTTGAGCTCAGATTCATCCATATAGATGAATCTGTTCTTCACAAAACTGATCATTTGCAAAGATCTATCAGAACCTGAAACTTATCAAGTTCGATTTTGTTGCTTGGTTTGCAACAACCCTTTCAAATGAAGCCAATTCTTTGTGACTTCATTGTACTTCATATTGTTTTCTTGGCAACCATAAGGATTTTTCAGCTATTCAGACTAGCCTACAGTCCTGGGATTCTCATACAACCACAAACAGGCTCAAATGTGCTAAGCTTGTTTAGATCAGTCATGGTTGGTTAGCTATTTACTTGGCTTGAGACAGAATGAACTGCTCAAAGCAAGGTTCTTGACAGTCCAAAAAAACAAAAACAAACCAGCCTTTGGATAAGCCAGCACAAGGACAATGTCACAAGGTGATGGCATAGTGGAGTCAAAATCTATTGGAAAAAGAAATTGCTCAGAAATATTCATTCTAACATTTATATTATTAAAATACTTTTAAAATACTTTATCTATTCAAACACTCCAAACGTTCTTCTTGCCTGGCCTTATTTCTTAAAAACAGCTTTGAAATATTTGATGTTACTGCTGCTGTTATTCTTTTTAATACTATTCCAAACTATATTTCATCACTGTAATAATGTGCAGAACTAGTTTCTGCTGCAAACAAAGTCATTTTTCCCAATGCTCAAGTATTAGGAACTTCGGTTAATGTGATTAGGATGCTGTGGTAACTTCCAAATCCTTTAAGGATTCCTTAGTTAATGAGCACTGAATATATCCTTACATTTTAAAAAATGTCAAGCTGAAATCATGGTTCCCATGACTTAGTAAAATAGCTTTTTTTCTTTCCTTGGTGTGACATCCTGTTATAGTACTGGGACTCAAACTCATGTGGGTACAAGTCTCAGAATGCCCTCTAAGATAAACATTTGATTTTCAAAAAGATTGACCCAATTGCTGGGAGTTGAGAGATATGCAAAGGGCAAGGTCAAAACACATGGCCAGCCCAAAAATGAAAGGAGGTTAGACTGCATGGATTATGGCTGTAGTTCAGAGGATCACATGAGCCTTTGACTTCAGAATAGGATTTGCTCTCAAGTCTATGAGTCTCAGGATCCCAATGAATTGATAATTGCCAGAATATATATTTTTTCTGGTTGTATGATAAAAATAATGTGTGGTGGTACCCTTCTTGGTCAGAGACAGAAAAAAGAGAAGTGCAAAAAAAGGACCTGGTGGATCCTTTGTTGAACATGAGCCAACAAGATGCTTCTGCTACAAAAAGCAAATACAATCCTAGCCTACATAAACAAAAATCAAAATCTAGACAAATCATCCTTTCCTTATATTTTGCATTTCTCAGACAACACCTAGAATACTGAATCCCATTATGAAAACCACATTTTAGGAAGAACAATGACAAATTAATATCAAGTGCTAGACAATGGACATGATTCAGACACTGATTTCATATAGTGAACTCTTATTTAATTCAGCTGGATTTACTTTCACCCCAATATGCATAGAATTAAGAGCAGACCTATCGTACTATACCTGGAATATTAATATATAACTAGCTGGATCAAGCTGAACACATTCATCTGTGTAGTTAAATTGTGAATGCTGAAATGCATATTATTGGATCTCATCTTGCATAGCATGAAGGATTATCTCTGGAAGATGGCTGCAGAAAACCACAGACTGAAATTCAAAAATAAGCTTTAAAAAATAAAGACATATATTGTATAGTAGAAATCTGGGGGCTTCCTAAACCAATCTTTTTCAATCTGGTGCTTCCATTAATCATTTATAATGTCTATGTTGTTCAACATATTTGGAAGCCACCAGTTCAGGGTTAAGCTAATTTAGCCAAAGAAACATGAATATATCTTTACTTCAATTAGATGCACACTTATTTCCTCTTTTAAAATTAGGGGAGTTAAGGTTCACTGGATGACCCAGGTATAATAGGAAGGCACATCCCATCACGTGAGTGTTAACCAGACACATTAAAAAAAGGAAAGCTAGTTCAAATTGGCAACTGAAATAAGTTCATTTTCATGTTTGAGAGAGAAGTTCACCTCCTTTCCCACACACACCTTTCTTACTTTCCCTGAGAGACTGCTGAGAGTGCCTTACACATTATAATTACTAGGTGTGGAATGGAAACTCCTCACTTTGAAATGGCAATACAAATCCCCAAGGTAATTACCATTTATGTTGTATAAGAGAGAGAGTAACATATTGCTTTGGCAATTCATATGACTTCCTAATATGCAACTATTACACATCCACATGAACTTTTCAATTGCCTCAACAGAGTTAAAGTAACACCCTCAGGAAACACACACACGTGTTCTCTCTCTGAGAGAGAGGGGGGGGGAGAGAGAATCTGACAGATGTTATGAAACTGGTGTTGAAAGCACCCTTATATTCTTGGTGCTGGCCATTAGAAAGATTTAATCAAAGAACACCTTTCTTAGCTATTTTGGAAGATCTGGGATCCTCTAGTTTTGTTCAACACTTTTTGAGTAGAAATAGGAGATCATCAAATAAATGGCCAGATATGTCTTTAGAATTCAGAGCCTTGGACAGGGACAGAAGAGAATATTGCCCTGGACCACCCCCCCACACATAAAATTAGTTTCAATTACAATAGATTAAAAAACAACAACAGAGAAACCTGAAGAATTTTGTTATTGAACTCAACCTGGGAGAAAATCCAACGGCTCTTAAGACCTTTGATGGCCCACTGATTTTAATGAGAGATTTCCTATTTTGATGATGCCCTTATAATAGTTACACCCATGATAAAATATTGCTACAAAAAGAGATGACAAATCAGAAGTACAACAGGAAACCACAGCCGGTCAAGATGACAAGGTCACTATTTTCCTCCGTCACCCTCCTTTCCTCCCAGTACTGAATGTGAATTATGTGATTCAATCTTATGTGATTCACAAGAGGTCCACTCTACAAATGCTGGTGCGTTTGAAATCAAACGAAAGGTATCCAGAAAGGGTCCCAGGAAGATCAGTTAAATTAGTAATGGTGAGCTAAATCCATGCACCCCTGAGGATTTTTTTCCCCGTTTTTTTAAAAATTTTTTTTTACAGAAACCAGATTACTCAGGTTCATTTAACCACCAAACCTGGCAACTGAAAATAAAAAAAAAGACTGAGGGAAAGCAAGAGAAGTGGCTGCAAGTTTTATATATATTATAGCGAGTCCCTGTGAAATTATTATTTCAGGGACTTGTTTTGATTTTTTTTTTACTAGAATTATATAATGGTTTATGAAAATCTGCAAACCAATGTTTATTACCGTCACACACCAGCATACACAATGCTAGTCAATAGCCTGTTGGGAGAGGTTCGAGGCCGCCACGAACCTCGCATGCTTGTCGATGAACCGTTCCTCCTTTCACCAGTGACCCAACCCAACACTCCGCGTTTTCCTTTAAAGCCGGCGGCTGCCTAAAGTAAATAACGTTCCCTCTGAGGAAGAAACGGCCATAAACCCCGCCCTGCCTTAAGCTTTCTAATGAATGAAGGCGAACCGAAGCGCCGTTTACTTTTTTTTTTCCCCCCCCTCTCATTGTGACGTCGGCAGACCCGGCTGCGTTCCATTCACAGCGACCGAAGCAAGAATGAGGCTCGAGGCCGGAGAGAAGGGAAAGGAGAGAGGAGAGGATGTGGGGGGCGGGGCGAGGTAGTAAAAGGAATCCTCCCCCGCACTCGAGCCAGCGTGCGGGGAGCATTGCCACTACCAGCAGCTCCGTTATTAATGACTTGAGCCTGATACGGCGCGGAAGCAAAATGTTCTAAGGCCTTAGCCGTTTCCCGGGCCAGGAAGGAGCCTGCGCAGAGCCCGCAGCCATGGTGGAGCTACGGGAGATGGACTGCAACGTGCTTCGGCACCTCCTGCATCGGGGGGACCGCAACGGCGGGAGCTACAACCAAAACGGCGGCGGCGGCACCACCACCACCACCAGTTCCTCCTCTCCTCCCGCTGGCGGGAAGTGTCTCCTCTTGGACTGCAGGCCCTTCCTCGCTCACAGCGCCGGCTACATCCGCGGCGCTCTCAACGTGAGGTGCAACACCATCGTCCGACGGCGGACCAAAGGGTCGATCAGCCTGGAGCAAATCCTCCCGGCGGAAGACGAGGTGCGCTCCCGCCTGCGTTCGGGTCTCTACTCGGCCGTGGTTGTGTACGACGAGCGGAGCCCGCGGGCTGAGTCTCTGCGGGAGGATAGCACCGTGTCGCTGGTGGTGCGGGCGCTGCGCAAGGACACGGAGCACACCAACATCTGCTTGCTGAAAGGTAAGGGAGTGGGGGGTGCGCACGAATACCGGTGTTAGCCGGGAAGTGGGGTCAGGCGTTTGGACTGTGGCCCTTAAGACTCACTTCCCGTCCGCTGGACCCGGTTTGAGCCAGACCATCCAGCGGGTTATGGGTTTAAAAGGGCCGGTTGGAATGAGCGGAGCCCCCGGGGTTTAAATCCCTAGTACAGCCTGGGAAGGACAATGCCGCTGAAGCATGTGCCTCTCGCCCCTCGCGATTCGGAAGACGCGGGACTCTCAAAGGCTTGAGGTTTATAATTCAGGTTTCTCTGGAAGGACCCCGCCGTGCCTGCTTTGCTGGAGTTGGACGGAGACAAGTCGACTTAGCGTGGTCGGACTGAAGGGGGAGGATTGAAAGGGCGACTTAGCCGGGTCGGAGAGAGAAAAGGGCCCGATTCGGAGACGAGTCTTCGAGTCGGGCCCTTCTCTTATCCGTCCCTGCTAAGTCGCCGTTTGTCTCATCTGCTCTCTTGCGAAGGATGTGGGGACTCGGCAGTGAGCGCTGCCGGGGGCGGAATGAAGGGAGGAGGAGGAGGAGGAGGTCTAAATCCCACCCATTCGAAGGGCACAACGTGTGAGCCGCGTGTCAGTCCCCTCTCACGCCCTTCTCCACTTCCGTCTGGCGGGCGGGGGACGGTGGGGGAGCGCTCTTCTCTGGCGTGGTTTGAGCAGCGATGACGCCAAGGGGCCCCGCGGCTGTTCTCCCGCTTGGCTTCGCGCCCCTCCGTCCGCCACCTGACTCGGGCTTCGGGGCAAAGTGTAAGACGCCCGTTATTAGAAAACCAGCAGCAGAAATCAGGACGATAGGAAACCTTCCTTCGGCTCCTAGAGAGAATTTCTCAGACCGACCAAAAAAGGAAGGACCTGCAGACTCATTTCACTTAGAGGTTTTCAACCTAATTCCTCAGATTTTTCTCTCTGCCCCCTGGTTTGGCAAAGAAGTCAGGAAAGACTTCTGGAAAGGAGGGTGGGATTGTGTTCCTAATCCCCAAAGGGAGCCTTTTCTAAAAGGCATTTGATCAACTTTTGGAAGAAAATGGCTTGGGAGGGTCCCACTGTTTATCAACTCAGAGCTTGCCAGGCAGTCAAATTGCCCTCAAAATAAAGTAAATAGTCCAGCAGTCAACAGGATGTGGCCTTTATACAGCTGTATGTGAGAAAAGCTGCTGGGAAACTGACCAGAGCGAGAAAAACCATTCAGTTGTGGAATTGGGTTATCTAAGGTGTTGGGGGGGGGAGTTAGCAAAAATCCATGCTTTGATTAATAATGGTTTCCCTTGTAATCTTTGCCCCTCAGCTAGTTCCCATTTCTTGCTTGGGTGTGGCCCAAGGAAACCAGGCAGTATTGGAGGGGAGGGGGGTATTTCCTGCCCATCTGACTTATTAGCTGGTTGTGTGCATGAAGGCAGCTGGCGACCTTTTGAATTACAAAAGCTTTGGGTGGGTGGAAGGGAAAAGGGTGAGAGATCCTGTTTTATTGTTCCCCTAATGGCCTCTCCCCTTAGGAATGCATGAGAATAAGGGTGGTAGTGGTGGGAAGTAGCCCTACAGTTCTATCTGTAGGGGTAGTGCCATGTCTCCAGGGATTGTATTTGTGTCCTCTGGAAGGAAGTTCTTATGAGCTTCTGTGGAAAAGTCCCTCCCCTCTTTGCAACGCTGAGTCCTTAAATAGCCCTAGCCAAAATTTTCCAGCTCAGAATAGGATTTATTTTATGGTTTCCTTCTTCTAAGGGACATTGGAAAGACAGTAGTCATAAGCCCCCTCAAATATAATTTAAACATTTTCAAAACCTTGTGTTATAGATGAACAGAAAGCCCTACGGCCTACACTTTAATCAATAGATTTGCTAATTACTGAAACTAACAGTGATGATGAAAAAAAATGAAACTTGAGTCTTGAGATAAGTGGTTATAATCTCTAATATAAGGGAGGCTCTCTTAAAAATAGAAATGATTCATGGAACAATTCTCTATGGCTTTTAATGCCATGTTTATAGCAGACAAAAAGTCAAAATAAACCAATTCCATTGATCAATTTCAAAAGGCATTTGTACTCATTTGACAACTGGTTAGTTCTTTTTGCATCTTTGCTTCCTTTGTGTTTCACTTCAGTTGAAATCGTGGATGATTAGCAAGATTGGGGCTTTAAGTTGTAACCTTTGTTATCTAATTACCCAATTGCCATTGTTGGAATTCTTGTAGCTAATTTCCAACCTTTATAGAAACCTCCTGTCCTTCTGATTCCAGGAAATGCTTGATGTTGCAATGCAGTTTTGCTGAAAAAAATGTCTGCTAAAGTTGGAACTGGTTGGGGAAGGCCTTGGAAAGTGGAGGGCTCTCCTTAGGCTCTTTATAGGGACAAACCTCAGCCAATTTTAGAGGATCAAAAATTGAATTCTCTTTAGAATTTAGTTTTTTCATGATGGCCTTGGTTTCTCCTGGGCCATGCTAAACAAAGCTAGAATTAATTATGAACATTTGACTAATTTACCTAACTTGGTGTTCCATGTTCGGTTTGGGTATATGTAGAATATGAACCTTACTGGAAAGATCATTTTGCATGTAGCCTTGTAATGTATACAGTCCTGTTTTTATTTATCCAATTAAATTCAAGATTTTTTTTATACTGGGAGTCAATTCTATTGAACAATTAAATGCAATTTATTTTTAGCTTACTGCTCTGGGAATAGAGCATTTTTGCAATAGTACTGTTCAAAGATCTTGTCAGTGGTAGAGTTCCTACAAACTCTGAGGTTGATAGAAAATATTTGCTAATGCTTAATCTTTCAAAATTTTTAGAGGAATTGCTACATTTATCTTACCATACTTTTACAGACACTTCAGAACTGGGGAGGAGGGGTCTCTTTCCTGTTACTTTTCTAGCTTCCTCCAATAGGTTTTTGGGGGAAAAACTTGCTTGTTGTAATTGAGATCTGACCTAGAGAACGCAAGGTATTTTACTGGATCAGCCTTCTTCATAGAATACCCTAGTGTTATGTGCATTTTAGCCACTTTTATTATAACATCTCCTCCTGTGGCTTATGGACCAAGAAACCTTGATCCATTACGATCCTTGGGTTAGTTGATATAATTTAATAAATCAATAAATAAAATAATGGAGGAAGGGGAAGGATGACGGCCTTGTACTTAAAAGCCTTCTCAGTGTGGGCATTTCTGTAGGACAAGGTGAAATTACTCACACTAAAAATTAATGTGGTGGAGAAGAGCATTGCATTTCTGTATGAATGGTAGAACTTGCTGTCCCTGGGAAGATAAAATCACAATTTGGGGGGTGTTTGTTAATGACATTTGGCTGAACTCAAATGAGGGTGATGTGTAGTGCTCCATGATTTCTCAGCAGCTTTCACTAGCATTAATCATGGTCCAGCTGGGAATGATGGGCACCATATTATGATGGTTCTTCCTGATTTGTTGGTTGCAATGGGTATTGATGGAAGGAAGAGGTCATAACCACAGCCTGTCATTTGCAGAATGTCTCAGGGTTTGAAAGTCACTTTTGTATTTAACATCTGCATGATACTTCTGGGTGAGGTCATCTATCATCTGGGAGTTCAATATGACCAGCATGGTAATGATACCTAATGATATGTCTTGATACAGAGCCATGCATGTGATATGGTCCATGTCCTGTCTGGAGGAGAGGTTGTTCAAATCAGACTTGGTCTCAATCCTTATAAAACCTAGTACTTGTGGATACTTGGGTTCCTCAGTTCCCAGAATTTTCCATCTTTAGTTTTGGATGGAGTAGGACTTTCCCATTTGACACTGGTGTGTACTTTGGAACCAGGAGGCAACTTTACCCAAGAAGGCCTTTGAAAAGATTCATCTAGGGATGGCGAACCTATGGCACACGTGCCACAGGTAGCACGTGGAGCCATATTAGTAGGCATGCGAGCGTTGCCCTAGCTTAACTTGTTTCCTAACTTCCAGTCCCGCCCCAAGAAAGCCTCTGGAGCCTGGGGAGGATGAAAAACGGGCCTACCAGGCCCACTGTGCCATCGCGTGCCAAAAGCGGGGGTCACGCAGGGGAGTTGCACGTGCATGTGCGGGGTTAGAGCGCATTGAATTATAGGTGTTGGCACACACGTGTGCGTCTCCTCTCGCGCTCCCCCCTCCCCGTTTTTGGCATGCAATGGCAAAAAGGTTAGCCATCACTGATTTAGTGTGTCTGTAGTGCCCATTTCTAATTCAGGATGCCTTATGATCATTCATGCCCTAACCACTCCAAAGATGGACACTTGCAGTGCAGTCTATATTGGACTGCCCTTGAATACCACCCAAAAGTTACACCTGGTCCAGAATGCGGAGGTGTGAGCAGCGATGGCATGCCATATCATGCCCATAGGGTACCACTGCTTTGCAAATAGCACTGGTTGCGTGTTGACTTCCAAGTGCATTATGAAGTCTTGGCTATCACCTATAAATCCTTTCCTGACATAGAGCCTGATTATTAGAGGGACTATCCTTCTCTGATGGTTTCGGCCCACCAGACACCCAGCTGTACATCTCCACCCCAGGTCACCCCAACGATGCCCTTGAAGTGATGTCCCAGTGCCTGGAGGCTGTGTGGATCTGGATGGGGAGGAACAGGCTCAGGCTCAACCCTTCCAAGACTGAGTGGCTGTGGTTCCCGGCATCCTGATATAGTCAGTTGACTCCATCACTGACTATCGGGGGCGAGTCTTTGGCCCCCGCGGAGAGGGCTCGCAATCTGGGTGTCCTCCTGGATACGCAGCTGTCTTTAGAGGAACATCTGACAGCGGTAGCCAGGGGGCCGTTTTGTCAGGTTCGCCTGATCCGCCAGTTGCGGCCCTTTCTTGATCGGGATTCCCTGTGCACAGTCACTCATGCCCTCGTCACCTCGCGCCTGGACTACTGCAATGCTCTCTACATGGGGCTCCCCTTGAGGAGCACCCGGAGGCTCCAACTGGTCCAAAATGCGGCCACATGGGTAATTACGGGAGCTGCCTGGCGCTCCCACATAACACCGCTCCTGCGTGAGCTGCACTGGCTCCCAGTGGTCTTCCGGGTGCGCTTCAAGGTGTTGGTCACCACCTTTAAAGCGCTCCATGGCATAGGACCTAGTTATCTTCGAGACCGCCTGCTGCTACCGATGACCTCCCACAGAGAGGGCCTCCTCAGGGTGCCATCAGCCAAACAATGTAGGCTTGTGACCCCCAGGGGGAGGGCCTTCTCTGTGGGGGCACCTACCCTCTGGAATCAGCTGCCCCCAAAGATAAGGAGAATTCAAGACCTCGGTGCCTTCCCCCGTGCCCTTAAAACTTTCTTTTTCCAGCAAGCCGGGTTGGTTTAACATAACATTTTTTAAAAAACATTTTTAACTGGTTTGTCATTTTAAATTGGGGCCAAATTAATATATATCCTTTTAATTGTTTTTAATGTTTGTATTGTATGTTTTTAGCTGGCTGTACACCGCCCTGAGTCCCTCGGGAGAAGGTGCGGTATATAAATTCGAAATAAAATAAAATAAATAAAAAATAAATTCCCCTGATCAAACAAGATGATCTATTAGAGTCTAGGAAGCCTGGCTGCTCTATTGCAGGACCTGCCCTCTTGAACTGGGCGCTCCCAGAATGGCTTCTATCCTAATCTTCTGAAAGTCTATGACAAGGCTGCCTGATGTGTGGCCAGCCAGCTAAGCAGCATCCTTGTGAAGGTTTTTTTTTTAAAAAAAAAACGCCTGTCAGAGTTTTTAAGAAAGTAATAAATTCACCATCACCTTGAAAGACATACTACTGACCAGCCCCAGCTCCTAACATGGCAGGTGTTCTTTTGCAGCCCATGTAGGTTGGTCTGTGCAAGGCCTTGAGAAGGGTGCTTGTTGAGCTGCTGTAGGCTCCTTATTTTACTCTATATATACACAGTAGTGTCTTGGTACTCAACTGCTTTGAAACTCATCGAATTTGGTACTTTAATCATTTTGACACGAAAATTTTGTCCTGGTCTGCTACTCATCATTCATTTGGTAGTCAACATACAAGCTAGGACTTGTCAATGTTGGCTGCCTACATTATTCCATATGGGAAAAATTTGTTTGGTACTCATCATTTTTGGTAATCATGTCTCCTGGAGCCAATTTGCTACAGGATATGCATGACCTGTTTTTCTATTTTGTTGCTACCTGGATCAGGCAGTCTCTAAATTGTATAAATAAAATTGACCCAGAAGTTGGGAGTTCTACTAGTTTGGCAATTTTTGATGGTTGTAAAGTATATATTAAATTTATATGCTGCCTATTTCACTATTGAGTGACTCCAGAAGTAAAAAATGGACTTTGCACTAAGAGGACTGTGTGTTAACAAATTTGCTGTAAACTTTCCAGAAGTATAATCATGTTAATTTATATGGTAGCTAAAACAAAAACTTTTGACACCTTAGAAACTAACAATGGGGGGGGGAGGTGCTTAATATTGACAGATAAATGAATAATATTCTTAGCTACAGCTATATGCATATAGTGGGAGGGAAAGCAGTGAGTAGTGAAAAGTAGACACTAAAAAAGTAGGCATGGTTCAAATGAAGCTTGAAGATGTAAAGTAAGTCATGGTAGGTTCCTTGGTAACCTTCCAACATTCATGAAATTACCCTGTTTTCCCCAAAATAAGGCATCCCCTGATAATAAGCCCAATTGGGCTTTTGAGCGCATGGCAATAAGACCAAGCGCTTATTTCAGGGTTCAAAAAAATATAAGGGTCTTATTTTCAGGGAAACATGGTACCAATTCCTTGGTAACCAAACATTCATGATCACATACTCAGTTTCATTGTATTTTTAGAGTACAGGTAGTACTTAACGTAGAAACGGTTGATTAATGACCATTCAAAATTATGACAAACTCAAAGTTACTTATGACTCATCTTTGAAGTTACAACTGCTGCACAGTCATGTGATTGCATTGCAGGAAATTGGCTTGCATTTACAAAAGGTTATAGAATCGTGATGTCACATGATCACATTTTGCTGTGGTTTTTGTTGTTGTCCCAAAGAACCATTCATTAATTAGGCAGACTATTAAAAACAATTTAAAAAATTAAATTGGGAAAGTGGGCACCTTCCTCTCACATTTCCTGTAGTATAAGTCAATTTCCCAAAGGTTGGTACTAATTGCCACTGGTCACCTAAAAGCTTCATTTGGGAACCCTTATTAAGATTGTCAATGATGTTAGAGAGTGATTTGAAAGAATGTAGAGGCCAGCCTTATTTGCAATAGTGCCAAGCAAACATGGACATATCCAGATGCTAACCAAGAATTATCTTCGATAATTCGATAAAGCTCTACCTTTAATTTTTGTCAACAGTAAATCACATTTCATTCCTCTGCACTGAGTTTTTTATTACTGTCTCAGATGCTTAGTTTTTTGAAAGTACATTTTTAGAAATTGTATTTGATTACCAATAGTGGGACCATATATCACTTTATTACAACCTGTACTATCCTGGTGTGCCAGTTGATTGCTATTGCTTTCATGATAGCCCTCTTGGTCTCTGGTCCTTTTGATTTCTTTGGCTGTTATGCTTTGACAGCTCTTCAATATTTCCTTTATACATAAATGCCTCTGTAGATTAACCAAGGATTCCTCTCATTGAATAGAAACCACAATTAACCATAGCCAGCAGTCAGAAGGTTTCGAACAAAGTAGCGCGTGTTGATCTCAGCCTTTTTTCTTTGTCCTCTATTTTATCCAGTGTGGTGTGACCCATGTCTTCATTTGATATTTGATTTGTCTCTACAGCCATAAGATCAGCTAATTATTTTTGAAGTCAAAGCCAGCTTTGTATAAATACAAACAGCAGCTTGTTTTTCCTGTAAGGCACTAATATAACAGATGGGAAACGAGCAGGAGAAATGGGCAAGGGAATTGGGGATCTGTATCAGTAACACACCTTGCAGGAGATCTTTTGAAAACACCTGTGCCAAGTCTTGAGTGCAATTCCAGTCTTCTGCTAAAACTGGCTAGTTTTAGTCAGTCTAGGAAGCCATGCACGGTTGAACCTGATTAGGCTTGATTAATTGGTATGGGTCATCACCAAGGAAATCCTAGGTTGTGGGAAGTCAAAGTTCCAAAAGAAGATTTCATACTATTGCCAAGAAAACTTCATAAACAGTTTTACACAATGTCATTAAAAACTTCAAAACATCCTTGCCTTTGCTATCCCTTTTGTTAAAACGAATCATATCATTGCCATCATGTGGCACCATCCCTTCCTCTGCTTTTAAGCAAACATCTGTGGCGATGGACCTTAGTATGTAAGTCTGAATACACATTTATGCATGTTGTGCATATGTTGAAGGTGGGCCAGCCTCTGTGTCTACTTGTGCATTGGTAATATTTGAATAAATCTGTAGCATCTTGTAAATGATGACCACCACTTGGTATGTTTTCTTTTTTACTTTCAGGTGGCTATGAAAGATTCCAGTCAGAATATCCAGAATTCTGCACAAAGACAAAATCTCTTACATCAGCCTCTACTTTGGCACCCGTGGAGCATCTGGACCATAGTTGCAGTTCCTGTGGGACACCACAGCATGATCAGGTAGGCTGACTTCTCTATGCTTCAAAACTCTCTGCTGTCTGAGGCAAAAAGCTTCCTTTTATTTATTGATGGCATCCATATCCCTCTGGTGATATACATGGGGGTTCTCCTCTTGAATTTAATTTAATCATGCTTGATGGTGAGTCATATATGATGCAGAACAGCATCCAAGGTAAAATGTGTTTTTTATAGTTATAAAATGCTAAAATCAAGACAGTATTTTTCTGCGTAAAGCAATGGCAGCTGTAGGAAGTTTTGCAATCCTTCCAGAGATGTTAAGGTTCTGATTTGGTAATACAAAGCAAACAAAATCACTGATTGAACTTCTGTTGGCAAATAAAGTTATGAGAGTTGAGCACAAGTAGCTGTAGAAAGGACACTGAAGGAACACATGGGCTGGAATTTCAGGTTCTCCAAATCTATACGGGCAAGTTGTTATACTTTTCTCTAGTATGGTGGGGGAGTCTCCTCTTTTTTTGTATCTCACCTTGTGAGATAGATTGACCTGAGATGTAGATTGGTCCCAAGCCATGTAGTGAGTCCCGTGGTCATGTGGGGATGTAACTCTAGGTTTTCTCATCTGTTCCAAAATTTAATCATGACTTTGTTCATATTGGGCAATATAAATTTAGTAGTATAGTGAAGCACTAGAGGGAAATCAAAGCAACTTGCTTGATGTGTGGTCACAAACAACATAAGTTTCTTTTCCCTCTGCACAGCATTGTTGACCAGAAAGCTCTCGGTAATTTGTTGTCAATTGAAGTGAAATGGGAAGACGAATCTATCTAATTGAGAAACAGGGCAACGTTTTTATTGCACTTTTTCTTTTCTTCGCTTCTGCTTTTTGAAAAGATAGATTCAGATGTGCTTCTGATGGGTGCACAGTGATGCAAATCTGTAAGTCTCTGTATGTGCTTTTTAGCCCAACAAAGAAAATGGGTAGGACCTGCATATCATGCATTGATGTTCTTGATTGGACCCATGTTTTGTGTCTTGGCCCCCTAATAAAGATGTGTAGGCTAGATACGGTTTATTTTGGGAAGCGCTGTTGGCTCTAGAGTTAGAGCCAGATTAAGACAAGATTAAGGGGTATGATGTGAGACCCTGTTCTTGAAGTTGGGAATCAGTTGGGATTATTGCTACTGTCCCAGCCTTCCTGCCAAGTAGCAGGAACCTAGCAGTAACCTCACTGCCTGAGGTTCTTGATTCAGTCAACCGAACTAATGGTTCTGGGAGATTTCTCTGCCCTTATTGCATCTGCAGGCAGTCACCCAGTGGTCTTGTTTAAGATGACCAGAGCCCTCCTCAGAAAGAAGGACTCCGAGGTTTACAGGGTTTGAAGCCTTCTGGATCTGGTATTTTACCATCTTTGGTGTTGGATGGTATGGTATGGTATTGGCCAAACAGACCTGGTTTGCCATCTGGGGTTCCTTCTAGAACCATGACTCCTGCTGGAGGAGCAGGTGGCAGTCATAGCTAGCAGGGCCTTTGTACTGCATAACTTCTTGTTGTGTTCCAGATGCAACCTTCCTTGCACCCTGAGGCTCTAGTTGCATTTACTCATGCCATGGTCCTCTCTAGAATGAATGATTGTGATACGCTGTAATACCTTTAAAAAGTATTTAGAGGCTTTACCTAGTGCAGAATGCGGCTGCACAGTTGTGTCTGCCTTTGTATGGTATAAATTACATCTCTTTTCCATGAGCTCAGCCAGTTGTCAGTTTGTAATCTGGGTACAATCCAAGGTGCTAGATTTGACCTTTAATGCCCTACATGCCCTGAGACAAAGTTATTTGAGGATGTACCACTTCCTAGTTACATCTACCCGTTTCATCAGGTTGAGCAGCAGAGGTATGCTACTGGTCTCATCTACTAAGCAGTTATATATCTGGTGGGACGTAGGCAGCAGGCCTTTTGTGCTGTGGACCCTGCCCTATGGAACATCACTTGACTGCAGGGGGTATGTGATACACTTACTTTGAGAATGGGTTGTAACTTTGGAAGGATGGGGATTTCATGATAACTTTGAATGGTTGATAAGCAGCTGGATATTAAGCAAGGATTGTATGAGAGTTTTGTCCTGCAGTGGATAGCGATTGAATCAATAAAATTAAGACATGGCCTCCTGAGCAGGGTATTTTATAAAGTTATGTGATACTCTTTCATTAACCTCTTCTAGACTCTTCTTCATGTTGTGTTGCAAACTGCCTTTTGGCTTGTCAAATTAGATCCAGAGATTTATACAAAGAAGCTAAGACCTGAAAAGAAAAAGGTACAACTGATTTCATTCAGTTGTGAAACTGAGATAAAATAACTTGCAACCCAAAAATCACATACAGCAGATGTATGTTATTTTACATCAAAGTGTGTTTGTGTGTATATGTAGTGCATTTATGCAGATGTACTAACTGTTAATCATAAAGTATCTTAATTACAACAGCATCAACAAAAACAAAGACTAGGTTGCTTTGATTAAGATGGTTTTAATTCTGGCAAACCCTGGTTCACTAACAGAGTTCCTTGTGTAATTTCTAGGGTGAATGATCTTTGTGGTTAATTGAAACTTAGTGAGCTTTCTCTGCCTAATATTAGAAATTCTAGCCCACAAGTACTTTAAGGTTCAGGTGCCATAAACCTGCATACTTTCCAAAAAAGAAAATGTATTGAGTAACGTATCATGTTCAGGGACAGGAAAGGGAGGTAATTTATTTCCAAAATCCATATATTTTGAGATAAAATTATTTTAACGTTAACTCTCTGCCACTAAGTTTGTTGCACATATGTTTCCCTCAAGAAGAGATTAATACACTTATAATCAAGGAATGTACAAATCCACACACTGACAAAGAGGCGATGAAACTCCTTCTCAAGTCATGTGATTGCATATGTAGCAGAAATTAAGCAATAAGAACAGCTTATTCCTTGGAATACATATAGGCTGAAGCAGTCAGGTCCCAGGTTATCCAGAGATAATACTGTAGTGGAGTAGACTTGCCCTCATTTGTGATAAAGAGCCGTGGTGGCGTAGTGGTTAGAATGCAGTATTGCAGGCTAACTCACTGCTCACTCCAGGAGTTCAAATCTGAGTGACTCAGGGTTGACTCAGCCTTCCATCCTTCTGAGGTTGGTAAAATGAGGACCCAGATTGTTTGGGGGCAATATGCTGACTCTGTAAACCGCTTAGAGAAGGCTGTAAAGCACTGTGAAGTGGTATATAAGTCTAAGTGCTATTGCTATCTTCTGCCAATCTCAGTCCTGAAATACTTCAAGTGGAGGAAGCCAGAGATGATTGATGAAACCCTTTCTAGCTGCTAGTACAGCAAGCAGGCCACTGTATTGGCTTGGTCTGAGCTTAGCACACTGAACCAAACCTGCAGTGCAGAGTTACGTACAAAGAACAACAGTACTGTCATTAAGGAAGTGATAAAGTGCATTCCAAAGTTATTTGCTAGCAGGTACGCAAGTTTATTTGGAGAACGGCAGTAAATGTGCTTTTTTTTTTTCCCTTTGCTGTCAGCAACTGATATGGAGCCTTGGGTATATGTTTCACAGCGGGTCTGTTCAAAAAACCTATTAGGAATTACATGTTCATGGTGACTCAGCATGCTGGCACTTCTAAATAAAATTTAGGGAGGCATTTTTGCTAGCACCCATTTTTGTTCTGTCATTTTAAGTACAAAGTGCAGAATATAAACATTGATTCCCCAGTTTGGGTTTAGGAGGGGGGGATTTTGAATATTAAAAATGGTGGGTAATATCAGAACCGTGGACAAATTTCTGTAGTTCATGGTTGGCAATCTATAAATGTAATTTAACTGCAAACAGCAGAGACTGTGTGGTGACAGTCTCTGATTTTTGGACTGAAATGTAGGTGTGGAAAGAACAAGTTGCAACCTGTACAGTTAAAACACAATGAAGTTATGGGAGTAATATTCAGTATCTTGAGGTTAGTGAAAAGAAGCCATAAAGTGGGTGAATGAACACTGTTGGCTGTTTGGGACAATATTTTCTGAGTTGTCAGAGAGCATCAGGACTCATGACTCCATCTTTTCTTAGCAGGGTGGGCAAGTTCCTTTATTGCCAAACTTCAGATTTAATCTATTTAAATTAAATTATGAAATAATGAAGAGCTAAAACTATATGAAATAGATGAGCAGGTGTGACCAGCAAATCATAATTGAACGTTAAAATAATTAGATTAGCAAGATGAGAACATTTCCCAGTGGAGAACACTCGATGTGCATCTAGACAGCAGCCTATAGAAGTTCAGGTGATGTCCTTTTTGAAAGAATTGGCGAGATGTAGACCACTGCCGGTGTATTGTTTTTTTGTTCATGAGGTCCTGTGCTTTTCTTGTTTCTTACACTGTTCCCTCTTTTTCATTTCTTCCCTCTGACATAGGGTGGCCCAGTGGAAATCTTGCCTTTCCTTTTCCTTGGCAGTGCTCATCATGCAGCTCGGAGGGACATGTTGGAGGCCTTGGGAATCACGGCTTTATTAAATGTTTCATCGGACTGCCCCAACCACTTCGAAGGACACTTTCAATATAAGTGCATTCCAGTAGAAGATAATCACAAAACTGACATCAGCTCCTGGTTCATGGAAGCCATTGAATACATAGGTAAGATAATGGTGAAGTATGGAATGTTGGTGGAGATGATTGGATTTTATTTTATTTATTAAATTTAAGCCACCGAATCGCTAATGCCCTGGGCAATTTACAACAAAGCATACTAAAAAATTGAATAAAAACATAAACAATAAAAGCAAGTAAAATGTTTGGAGTAGTGATTAAGGCATCAGGTTAGAAGTGGGAGACTGTGAGTTCTAGCCTTAACTTAAACACAAAGACAGCTGGGTGACCTTGGGCTGTTCCCTTTCCCTCAGCCTTGGGAAGCATACAATGGCAAACAACTTCTGAAAAACCTTGCCAAGAACACTGGGGCTACTTGAGCAGGTGGTCATCAGGAGTCAAGACTGACTCATGGGTTAGTCCATGTGCACACAAACACACAAAGCCAAAGAAACCATCAATAAACTAGGCAGCTGCAAGGCAGTTCTTTCTGCACCTAAAAACATACAAATGAAAAGCCAAATTAAGAAGTCTGGGAAAATAGGTTCTCACCTGCTGCCTGAATGGTGCTAATGTGTGCACCAATCAAGTCTTGCTGGGGAGCAATTCGATAAATGGGGGTGTTGCCGCAGGAAAAAAGCTCTCTACTTGAATGAGGACTGCCACAATTGGATGCAAGTTGTAGGGCCCAAGTTTCTAATCCTAGAACTGTATTCTTCTAGTAAAATTTGTTACTACCGGTTCTGTCAGCATAGGTTGGTCGGGTGTGTGTGTGTGTGTGTGTGTGTGTGTGTGTGTGTGTGTGTGTGTGTAATGTGACAGTGGGCGTGGCCAACTTTTTTTTTTTTTTTTACTTTTAAAAGCATTTTTTCTACAACCTCTTTGGCCGAAGAGGTTGTAGAAAAAATGCTTTTAAAAGCCTCTGACAATCCCAGCTGAGCCGCGTGATCATCAGAGGCTTTTTTTTTACTTTTAAAAGCATTTTTTCGTCAGAAGAGGTTGTAGAAAAAGTCCTTTTAAAAGTAAAAAAAAAAAAAGCCTCTGATGATCACGCGGCTCAGCTGGGGTGGGGGGGAGGCAGGGATTTTTGCTACCGGTTCTCCAAACCACCTACCGCCATCACTACCGGATCAGGCGATCCGGTCTGAACCGGGAACATTTCATCCCTGATTTGACTGTCCTTTTTCTAGTTCAGGATGCAGAATTTTGGCTCACACCATGCCGTGTGTTTTTGTGGATGTGACACTTTCTTTGTGTACCGCAGAAGACACTCTTTTTTTAAAAGCAATGTTCTCAACAGCTTTTACTATGGCATGTTAGTTAGATCTCTTTGAGCCTAGTCTTTCTGCCTTCCTATTACATCTGCTCCTTTGCTGTATCAAACAGAACAAAAGCCCCAGAGTGCTGTTTCTGGGCACGGCAGGAGGGAAGAAGCTACAGAGTTTCAGTAGCACTAAAAGCTCTGTTTCCCCAACTTTCTAACATCAGATAATAGGACTACTAGACACACCCCTCCAGAGTTTTTTGAGTTTTTTCGGAGTTGTAACAATATGCTTTATGAGGGGGGAGAGATATTTTTGAATATCCACCCATCTCAATCCAATTGACTCAGGGAGGAGTTAACTTGATAAGCGCAGCAGAATTCTTGCATATTACCAGGAGCCTCACTTGAGGCCAAGATTTAACTTCTGCAGGAAATTCAGAACTGAGCTTGAATAAAGAAAGCTATTCTCCAAGTTTCTTGGAAAGATCTCCTTTTTGAAACAAATGAGGGAGATCTTCCCAGTCACTATTCATTCTTCCATTCTTGTGATATGAATAATCCACACAAAATTGCAACATAATTTAGGTTGCTTTGTGCATACCGTATATCACACCTTGATATCTAGAACTACGTTTAGAAACAGCTTACCTCCTGTGGAGGAGTCCCGGATAGATATTTGGCCTAACTGCACAAATACTTTTTGAGGGATGTTTTGCTTGCATTCAACCGAAGGGTATTAAAGATTGTAATATTGGAGACTGATGATAGATAGAGATATAGCGAGATAGAGAGTTAGAGAGATGCGATTTAAATGTACCTTGCCCTTTAAAAAAAAAACCTTTCCACATAAGAAAAGCTGATTCCTGTGGTTTTGGATATTTGTACATCCTTAACTACTGGTAGGCATATGTGGCGTCTTCCCTGCTTCCAGACATTTTTTTCACATATTTTGAAAGGATTGACAGTGTAATTAATATTTCCTTTGAAGAGCACCTTTCACATGCTGTAAAAGACATTAACTAAATTATACTCTTTTTATTTATTAGACGATTTACAGAGCCGCCTAATTGGCCGGCCACTTGGAATAAAGTAATCCAATAAATAAAGTGGGCGCAGGCGAGATTTCCAAGGGCCTGGGAGGAATTGTGTCTTACAGCAATGCAGTTGGGTCAGAGTTGCATTTTAAGGGTTGAAATGTGCTAATGCGTCTGCTCTGCTCCCCTAGATGCTGTTAAGGTTTGTCACGGACGGGTGCTTGTGCACTGCCAAGCTGGCATCTCCCGATCAGCTACCATCTGTTTGGCTTATCTAATCATGAAGAAGCGAGTCAAGCTTGAGGAGGCCTTTGAGTTTGTCAAGCAACGTCGGAGCATCATCTCTCCAAACTTCAGCTTCATGGGTCAACTGCTTCAGTTTGAATCCCAAGTGTTGACCACATCGTGTGCTGCTGAGGCTGTGAGCCCCTCAGGAACACTAAGAGAAAGGGGGAAGAGCTCCTCCACACCTACGTCCCAGTTCGTTTTCAGTTTCCCCGTCTCTGTGGCAGTGCATTCCACTTCGAGCAGCCTTCCTTATCTGCATAGCCCTATCACCACCTCTCCCACCTGCTAGAGTAAGCCTTTGGGGGTCACACCTAGGGACATCAAAGGACACAATCCTACCGCCCCATTGGCAATCACTATCGGCAATAAAAAAACTCTGCCCCCCATCCCCTACAGCCAAATGGAATGCACCAAAGACAGACCAATTATGGTCAACGTTGCAGCTAGAATGGAACCTAGTGGGGAATGGGTTCCGGCATGTCCTTTCTTGGCAAGATGTTTTACCTCATTTTCTAAAACTATATAAAATATAAAAAGCTTGAAGTTTCAAAGTCCTGATAATGTTTTTGGGTGTTGGGGAGGGAGAAAACAAAAGAAAGTCAAAGGCTCGAATGTGGTTGAACATCAGGCTGAGTTGTGTTAATCTGAGCCAGTGCTCCCAATATTTTGGACTACAGATTCCAGAATTTTCAGCCAGCATGAACCTAGAGTCTCCAACTATGTGAAGGCGAGCAGGCTGGAGTATCTGCGTATGTGTGAAGAGCCTGCTAGGGCAGGGCACACTTCAAAAATGATTGGGAAGGAAAGTTTTGGTTCTTATGTGAGCAGAGCCTCTCTCTGCTTTTTTTTTATTGAAACACCTTGTCTTTTTCAGGCTTCTGCATGAGCAATAGTTGCATTAAATAAAGCAGCTATTAAAAGTAGCTGCATCTTTTGATCAGGCTTGCTTGAAGCCAGAATCAAGGGCTGCTTTAACAAACGCGCAAGAAGTCTTGGGTTTAGACAAGGTGTCCAATCTGGTTTTGAAATGTGCATTCTCCTAGTGCCTGCACCTGATCACCTTGTATCAGCAGGAACCCCTACGGTAGACGTATTTTATTAAAGTGCCTGGTTTTTGGAGTTCTTGATTGGAGTTTATAACATATCCTAATGTCATCCGTTTTGCTAAGCTGAGGTTTTGCATAAAGAAAGGGAAAAGAATTGAAGGCTCACTGTGAAGTGACACTCAGATTCCTTCCATGTGTCTGAAAGTAATTTAAAATGAAAAAAAATAATGGATTCAGATTTATGAACATAGGGAAGATATTATTTTTTGAGACAACTTGGGAAATGCCAGCAAACCTGGAAATGCTTGCTTGTCCTCCCAGCTTTTGCCTCTGAGGGTGATGTGACAAGATATTCAAGTCTCATAAGCTCCAGTCGGTATAGCCAAGTTTTAAGGATAATAGTAGCTATCAGAATATTTGGTGAGAATCAGATTAGGAAAGGCTGAATCTTCCCCAGGCATACTGGCTTGGGAATTCTGGGAATTGAAGTCCACATTTCATAAATTTACTATGGTTGAGCAACACTGCTTTATAAAATAATCCTCCTCAAAGAAGATGCAAGTGTTGCACTCTCCCTCCCCAGGAATCCTACGTAACATGGAAACTAAGTTCTTTACAGCAACCTTAAGAGAAAGGGCATGTAGGGAGATATTTTTTCTTCAAGAGAGATGCCAGCCTGTAAGATTTCTAGATAGCAAGGATATACCCTTTTATTCAGATCAAACTCCTCCAATTTATTGCTGAAGCCAATTTTAAGTAGGACTTTTGAGTAAAACATACAATTCCTACTGGGATTTAGCCCTCATTTCTTTTGAGGTATATCCTCACTGTAAAATTGAGCTAGACTCTTGGTCTTTCTCTAGTCCCACATTGCTCTCCCCACCCCAAATTGGACCCATCACGTTATGCCAAAGATAGTCACATGAATCTTCTACACTTAAGCTAGTCTTTCAGAATAGAATGGTTTCATGTTTCATGTTTTGCTCCTTGATGATTATAAAGCTTGGGAGAGTTTACTCTGAAGAGATATTTGACTTCCTTAAAGATTTGCTTATTTTTACTGTAGCACGTCAGGTGCCTATGGATGATAAGTGTTTTCACAGGCAGAATCTTGTAGGTTCTGCCTCCTGTGGGCACAATATGGGAAATTTGCACACCCTTTCGAACACGACTTGGCCTACCCTTCAGTCAAAGTTTTTGATACCACACCCAGCCCAATTGTGTATATTTTATATAGAATGTCTAAATTGCATGTGTGTTTTTTTTAGATTGTGACCATGTTTAATTTATTGCTTGATAATTAGTTGAAATAAATTTTCAGCTGTGGTTACCTTTCATAATGAAAATTAAAAGGCTCATTCATTCTTTTTTATGTACTTACAATGGTTGCAGTGTCCCAGAGTCATGTCATCATGTGACTTCCTGACAATGAGGAAGCCAGGTTCATTTAACTGTGTTACTAACTTAATTGGAGTGACTCACTTAACAATAGTGGCAAGAAAGGTCGTAAATGGGGCAAAACTCACTTAGCTGTCTTGCTCTAGCAACAGAAATTTTGCGCTCCATTGTGCTTGTAAGTCGGGGACTACATGCATTGCTTTTGCATTCAAAGCGGACTTCCTAGTATCGGGAGATATTTTTTTCCTTATTTAAAATGGGATATCAAAACACATGCTTTTGAATGATACCTTGCAGAGAATTTAGGTAGGTTCTAACAATATTTTTGTAGCCTGCAGGCCCACTGAAGGTTGATTTTAGGCATTTTTAAATTTTATTTCCCACCTTTCTCAAGTACTCAAGGTTGTTTCGCTTTATTCCAAGCAAACTTGAGTTGAAAGATATAATTTCACTTTCATGTGGGAAACCTTTTTATAAGGGAACAATGATAAAAAGGTGGTTTACATCAGTGGCCCCCAACCTTTCTGGCTTGACGGACTGGTGGTGTGGGAGAGGGGATGGTTCGGTGAGAGTGTCAGATGTGTGCGCCGTTCATACAAGTGGAACGTGCACTCGTCCACCACAGCACAGTGGTGTGCAGCACAGTGGCCTGGTACCAGGCCACAGTCCGGGGGTTGGGGACCTGTGGTTTATATGAGCAAACCAGGAATATGTCTGGCCAAATACACAATGCACCAAAATACACTATCAGTGCAGAGGAGAATACGGTGAACAAAAGGCATTTTGAAGAGAAGATGAAATAGTAAGCTAGGGAGGAAATCTTAAGATTGCTATTATGACCAACACTATATTACTATTACAGGAGAATAGCTTTATGGTTAATATGTCATAATAAAAGTACAAATATTCAAGTATTAAAAAAGTTTATTGATTCTGTCACAAGGTACTATATGTCTGACATTAAATGAAAGCACAATAAGAGCTAACTTAGTTGTTACATTGGCTTTATGCAAAATTCCATCACAATGTTAAATTAAGAGAATCTAACTCTTAAGGAAAAAAAGGAAATAACCAACTCCAACTCACAGACAATGAAGAAACCATACTGAGACTTCGTGTGTTCTTCTATTGCCAAAAGAAATCAAGAATACCAGGCTAGCTATGCAAGCAAATTACACAAGATTATTTTTAAAATGCAAAGCTAGTACTTTAATGCCTATGAAAATAACAGATGCCAAGATGATCTAAAGATATATATATTTTGGCAGAGGCCATCAACCTATATAAACAAAGTCACCAATTCTGAAAACTTGCTGGAAGTCTTGAAGGCATTACAAATAAATTAAAAAATATTGTTGAAATTGCACTATAAACAGAGTCTTTAAAACCTTTTACCAGTAACCATTTTTCTGCAGAACCAGTACACAAAAACATCTATTTTATGATCAATAAATTACAAAAATGGTGGTCAATGGCATACAGATATTTAGATGCACATTTAGTCTTTTTTTCTTCAAACCTACAGACTAAAAGGAACATGAATGGAAGACAGGAAGAGGAAAATTGTGCCTTACATTATGGCACAAACTCTTATGGAACATTTCTGCTCCACAAACAAGCAAATGGTATAATGCATTTGTCAGCTTTTAAGCTGGTACAAGACTTTGATACAATAGATGTTGTACAGCCACTTCTTTGAAAACTGCTCTGTTATTTGATCTGCCTCATGTTTTCCCCATCTAATAAAGCATGAAGGAAACTACATCACAAAACTCTTGTGCAAAACGCAATTATGTCACAGGTGTCAAACTCGCGGCGTCGCATTGCCGTCACGTGACATTTTGTGATGTTTTCCCCATTTGCAGAGCTGGGGTGGCTGTGGCCTGCGTATGACACATCTGGCCCAGGGGCTACTAGTCTACACCTTACTCTAAATCAATAACATCTGGCACCAAGTATAAATTCTATAAATAGAACATAACCAATTGTTACTGTTTTATCAAATTCTATTTTTTTGAATAATTTTGGCATTATAGGAGGGGGTACCCAAGAAATGAATAACACCAGAGCCCTGCTTTCAAGCCCTAGAAATTTTGATTCTAGAATTTTAGCTATGCGTGCTGTTCTCTCACATAAAATATTTGTAATCAGAGTAGCTACACAATTTATAGAGATGCAACGATTAGGAAGCCAGGCAGTTCCCATTCCGTTCTATATTTTTCCAGGGTTCTGAAAAAAGTACAGCATATGTAAATCTTGTTTCTCTTGGCTGCAAAATACTGAGAAGCTGTTATTAGAAAAAGGTGTGGGTGTATGTATGCATGCATGCATACTAGTATGTATGCATACATATATACCGATATATATATATATATACACACACACATACATACACACACACACACATTATTTTAGAACAATATATGAACCTATCCAAGAAATGAATCATGGTGGATGAGTTTGTGTATTGTGCTACAGTAATTTAAAAACAAACCAACCCCATTATGGCTTACAGTTGTATTTGAATTCTGGAAATAAGGTTTTCAGCAAAAATATAGCTTCTTTTGCATACATAGTTTATATCCTTGTTTTAAAAAATCAGCTGCTGGGTTGGTGGTAGAATGCCTTGTTATACTTTTCCATAAGCTGCTGCAATCATGTAGTGCAAGGAAATACTAGAAATGTTAACTCTTCTATATTAGATAGCAACCCACTGAACTAGATACAGTAATTGCAAGCTAAATCAGCATAAAACGTGGTCGCAGATGGCAATTTCATTGGCTTTGTCTACATTTACAATAGCCCATACACACTACCCACAAAGCAAGAAATTTGGATCACAAAAATCATTGGAGTTATGTAGTCAGGCCTTCAAGGTGATGGGACAATCCAGTAGTGGACTTTGCACGTTGGCTTCATTCTTGTAAACTGGAACTAGAGTTCAAATGGTATATTTGTTTATGTTTTATGCTGCCATGAGAATATGCTTCAACAGACTGCATTTGGTTCATTATTTATGTAGCTGTGTCTTAGTCACACCAGGATATGATAATATGCAGTTGTGGCTTGGGGGAAGGAGCTAAGAAAATAGTATTAAAATAAGAGAGATCAGAATGTTGTGCATGTATATCAAGTTGAAGGCATATGTAAAAATTTTAGTATTTTAGTAGGCAGATAGAATTGAAAATGTTTTGCTGCCTAGGGAGAAAATTCTCCCACCATACTGAGAGAAAATAAATAGCTGGTTATTTGTTGTCCTTTAAATCTCAATCTTCTACCTACCGGTTGAGTCATCCCTGCATTTATTCAATTGATTCCTTAAGGTCTGAAACATATATCGTGGAAGATCTATGAACTAACTAACACTCCAGTTTTTCATTTTCCAAGTAGGGGAAATCCTTCAAATTGTTCTCTTTATGACATTTCCCAACTGAAAATTGCCTTCTTGGAACTGCTGCTTGGCCTATAACGGACAAAAGGAAGTGTGAAATAGGCAGCTGCAGTGACTGGCCTGAACATCCTCCCCAATTCAAGTGTGCACATTACAATAGCTCAATATACCGGTATCGGCACATAGATCTCGTATGAAACTGCTGCTTTACTTGGAGATTCCAATCTGGAAATTTTTGCCTCTGGTCAATAAAATGTTCTTTCGTATCTGTTTAATATTGTCACTTGTCATTTCCGACATTGACAGATAATTGTCAGGAAAAAAAAAAAAACATTACTACTGGAATATCACCATGACAGAAAGCAATTCGTAATGCAATCTCAGGCATTCAAGAATGCTGAGGATTATACGACAATAAAAATGATGACCATTCCCAAGATTCCTAGCACTTCCTAGCCTCTGCATCAGATTTTCAAGGTTTGTGGAGAAAGATTTAACCTTATTTAAATCAAAGGTATGCAAAACATTTGAAACCAAATATCCCATGGTTTGGAAATTACATAAAAATAGTCTTAAGATATTTTATTCTTAAGGTACCATTTCTGAATGGGTTGGGATTTCTAAAGAAAGCTGTAATATATTTTGCACTTCAGAGTTATGAATAATATATTCAGAAAATTCAGAGGCTTCAATGGATGGAAACTTTAAAATATGCTGTATTTTTCAATTGATGGCTATTTTAAAAAATCTCTTTATTCCACTTCTGTCCTCCAGTTTATACGATAGTCTGGTGAGAAAGCAACTATGAGACCACCCCATCCTTTGTTTCTTGTATGAAATGATTAACTTGGAGAAAAAGCCAAATTCTACATCTATTTGTTTTTGTAAATCCCAGCAACAAACAAGGCTTAGCCAATCTCTCCTCCTTTCTCCTTTCTTCACAATGACATTAGGGCAACCAAAAATAGTCAAATACATTATTGTAGCTGCAACCCCCATTTCCCAACTCCCAGGACTGTAATTTAAAAAAATATGCTCAACAGATTCATGAATTTATATTTATAGATATGTACCTAAACATGTAATACAACAAATGTGTTGCTGCAAATACATACATCATATAAACATATTCATCAATGAATTGGTTGTAGGGTCCCTTTCAAAACTATATGTTGCTGCAAGCAGATTTACTATTTGTACTAGGTGTAACCGTCACAAATGATTGGGGTACTTAAAATTCCTAATTATGGTTACAAATGCTAGAATCAAACCCACATACTGTAGATAATGCTCTAAGGTTATATCCAACATTGTACTGTGACATTAAGCCCATCAACTTTAATTTCTGAAAAAGTCTCAACCTATACATATATCTTGGAGTGGGACAAAACCAATGAATGGCACTATATTTATGGCATCTTAATATCTCTTGATGCGGCTGGGATTTTTCATCCCAGTGGGTTGAAGGAAGCCCCAAATATAATTTATTTAAGGCTAACACCACTTTTGTTATTTTGAAGACTGTGCGCACATATGACAAAAGCACTTATCAGGTTTTCTATTCAGAACATATTGAAAGATAATCTACTGCATATATTAGTTTAAGTCTTATCTCAAAGAAATATATTTCAGAATCAAGTGTACAAGTCCTTTGCAGCAATTCTCAACTCCTGTATGTGGGAACATTAACTGTTGTGTTACATTGAATGACATTAAATGCTATGTTTGCAGTTTTTTTTAGGATGCCTCTTATTAGGCTTTTAGATCTCTGAAGACTTGAGTGCATGTATATTTTTCAAAGTCTGACCAGAAAGAAGTAACAAAAATCACATTACTACAAGACACAAGTAACTGAAAATGGAATTCCTTGGACAGCACCTTTTAGTCTACACAAAACATGTTACAAAACAGGAGCAATGTGAGATTCTCAGAATTTAGGATTTAAATTACCCATCAGGTTAACCATCACACTGGAGGAAAAAGACAACCACAGAATCAATATTCTTTCTTACTGGAGAAAAAGAACATTAGGCTTCCACATCCATGTTAACCATTTGGATTAAATGTGAAAAACAGCAGAGTCCCAATTCATATCCACGTGAAGTTGTCAAAATGTAGATTTTCACATCTATTTGCAATTCAACTGTAGTTAGCATTTTGCCCAGAGCTGTGCTTAAAAACATTTCTAAGTGAATGTTCATCATCTGGATCCTTTCCAAACTTAGATATTTATTTTACAGGTAAATGATCTTGGTGAGCTTGGGCCTTATGACATCATGTGCCGAGAAATCCAGGAAGACTGAGTGACCTCAAACAACAGAAGCAAAACTGAAAGATTCACAGCAAGTTACCTTGTTTCGTCTCCTGGATCAAGTGCTGAATCTGACAAATGTTTACATGATTTTTCTTGTAAACTGTACATTATTCTAATATGCATTAGATATATTTTTCTAATATATATTAGAAATTTCTTTGGAGGAAGATTTTTGGTAGTGGCTTTGTTCATCAGGTAAGACTGTTGCCCATTTCCAAGCAGATGCCAGTAGATTTCATAATATAATACCTTTACTTTCAAGGAATAAAAAACTTCCATGGAAGAATTATATTATAAGCAAACTTTCTTTGGCTGTTTTAATTACCAAAGATTTTGCAAAGCAATATTGCAGTCTCTCTCCGTTATATATTCTACTTATACATCTCTACTACTACGTGTTTTTCCCTGAAAGTCATTGAACTGTTTAAAAATGATGTTTGGGGGAGGGCAGGGAGATTGTTTTCATTGGTAGATTTTTGATATTATATTAATGATGATGACAATGATGATATGTAAGTGGATTCGCCACAAAGAAAATCTGGGGGGATGAATTTAATGGATAGACATCAATTAGAAACTAAGTAGCAGTCTTCAGCAATAAAACAAATATATATATAATATGTAAGTTTTCACGGGTATATATGTGTGTACATTTAATATTTCGGGTTTCTTCCCGTGTAATTGTGAACATATCCCTAAAAGGGTAGAAGTGACGTTTCGACAGAATTGTTACATGTTACAGCAAAAGACCCTTCACATAAGCCTGATGATGGCAGATGAGATTCTGTCGAAACGTCACTTCTACCCTTTTAGGGATATGTTCACAATTACACGGGAAGAAACCCGAAATATTAAATGTACACACACACACACATATATACACTCCTTGATATAACCAACTGGTCTAATTAGTCTACTGGGGATAAGGTGTTGGAAGATATTTGCATGGAATTCAACCTATGAATGAATCCAGACATAATATAAGGAATAACATAATATTCCTATGGAAGGAAAAAGGACCTCAAGCAAGCTTTACAGTTAACTTTTATACTCTGATAGGCCCTTTGTGTAAAAATGGTCCTTTTGGAGTTTACACACACATTGAGAAATGGACTAGGTTTCTGGCTCATACCTCTGCTCCCTTGCTGTTCATTATCTGATGAAAATATTTTAAAAACCCAGAACAAATACCCACAGAAGACATCCAATTCCTTGAGGAATTTCACTAACTTGCTTACAACTTCACTTAGGAAGGGCAGAGAGAAAACAGGATCCTGTGTCTATTCAGTTTCATCCAACAAATGTTTCCTATGCCTTTTATCAGACACATCCAAACTCTGCTACTGGAATATTAGGCACACGAAAGCAACAAGAAAACAAAACAGAGGAACAGAGACCATTTTCCAAAGAAGTTGCTACATGGGTGCTAGTATGAACATCTTATAAAGAAAGAGAAACTTGATAGGGAAAAAGCAGGACTTCTACCTTAAAGTTATGTTCCTTGCAACATAAAAGAATTCATTAAAAAGTGCAAAAAGAATCCCAGACCAAAGAACTATCTCGAACACCTTCTTGGATAAGAAATTCCTATTGCATTGTGAAGTGATTTTAGTCAACTTGACTTTGTGCAAAAATATCCTTGAGGAGGGTCTGGCTCATTTTTGTAACAGAAGAATAAAATGCAAATAAATAACTGACTAAAGACTTCTAAAAAGAAAAAAAAAAGAATGTTGAGAGGATGGTATGGTTCAATAGAGGCTCTGCACTTCACTACAGCTGTTGCTGCTGTTCTTTCAAAAAGGTTGTAACATAGCACTACAAATTACATTTCCATATATCCAGATTGAAGCAGTGATGCTCTCATTACACACATGGCAACTGCAGGGAAAGTGAGCCTGAGATAGGATGTTAAAAGGCAAATCTTTGTAAACATTTCCTCAAAAGGAATAGTAGCAATTGAGTACATATCAGTTACTCAGATTCATTTACAGAACAATGCTTTATAAAACACATAAAGCAGTTCCAGAATGATGAGAATTCCATATATTTTTGATGCTCTGAAACTAATCTCAACCATCCAGTCCGTAAGTCACGTAATCTACTTCAATGAACCAGCATCTACTAGGTCTTCTGTTCCGCAGCCACTGCTGTCTGTGAGGGAGTATCTGGCTTTACAATTTGGTATGTAATGAGATACTCAGGGTAAGCCTACAAATAAGCAGATACACTTAAATTACTCCACATTATACAAAAATAATTAAAAACACAGAAAAAGTTCATTTTACTTAATTTTTACTTCCGTCTTAGGAGCCACGATTCTCTGATATTTTTGCTTCTAACACAATCCATTTAATATCTATCATGTTATGTAGAACAGATACTTTTCCATGACTTCAAATATAACATCTTTCTTTGTTTATTTGGGGGCAAATAGCATACTCTAATAGGGCAGAAGAGATGTATAAAAGCCAAGGTCAGCATCTAATATCTTCCTAAATATTGTCTGAAGAGAAACTGATCACCAGGAACTGCATTGAACTCTTCTAGGGAGTGCAAAGGCCACAGTAGGTGAGACAATGATGTGTAATTGATGGAAGCAATTTTTTTGTCTGATTTTTGGGAAGAAGTATTGTTGTTCTTAAGTCTATTGTGGGAATTACGCCAGACTGTCCTCAAAATCTGTGTATCTGATGTGGACATATATCCATCTGCAAAGTGGTACTACACTCTTCTCTGCCATGCTTGTTCCTTTCCTCTTTTGCAGAAAGCAGATGGCATGGAAAGTGATGAAAATTTTGGAAGCATCAGTCACAGTCTTATTCATGAAATCAAGGGAAGAGCATTTAAACAAGAGCTTAAATAAGATCCTTTCATAGTATGACATATGTATGATATAGTATAAAATATAAACAATTAAGGACCCTCCTAGATTTGAATGAGTACAACTACTCCAATTTCTAATTTTCAAAAAGTGTTAAGGATGTCCTTCTGAAGGCAGGAGCCACTATTTTTCACAGAGTACAGTATTGCTGGACTAGTTTACCACAAACCATAGGTGCATACTGTTCTGGAGAAAAATTCAGTGACTGCATATAGGCCTTTGATACAGTTTATTTCTTGCTTGGCTTTTTTAATACAGTGATGTATTTTTAGTAACATGAAGGCATGGCTGATTTTATGCAAAATATCTGAATGTGTCTTCAAAAATATTTTTATTTTATGGATAGTGAAATCTACTAGTGTTAGAATCATGCAACTTTTTAAAACATGTAATTTGTCATAGTAATTTGGTGTGATGCTCAAGCCAACCAGAGTTTATTGTTAAAAATATGAAGTAACTCTGACACCTTTTGGTGGTGCTTAACAATGTACACCTAGGGCAAAGATTTCAGTGAGCCAATGAAGACAGATGCCATTTTCATATGTCACCTACCTGTTCCCCTCTATAGATGACATACTCAGCATAGGCGAGCCCATTGACACTTGGCCTGCCAATTACAGAGTGATGTCCGGGAGGGGCGTGGGCCATTTTCATGGTACTAAACTGCAAGAAGGACTTTCCCAATGTCACACGGCAAAAAAGCATTTGTCTAAAAGAAGACAGGAAGAAAATAACTTAAAAAGTGAACTCAGTTGCAGCAAAATATTTCATATGCATCATGTCAGAGACCTAAAGTTTGTACAACTGATCAATTTTCATTTCTTAAACATTGTTTAAATCAGTAAAAAGGGTGAATTTTCATTTTTGCTTAATCATCAGCTCTTAGGACCATGTTAGTATGGTTCTTCTCCCCCCAACCCCCGTCCAACTTGGAACAGAAGTCCTAATGGCTTCTCTCTCTCTCTCGTGACTAGATTAATGACAGTTCAGGAGCTAGTTCAGAAAAACTAACAATTTTCCCACAAATGCATGAATGGCTAAGCAGAATATCAATACAGTCTGCAAATAATTGGTTCTCAAGCCACTGCAGTTTGCATACTGAAAGAACAGACTTATTAAGGTCATTTTTATCATTTCAACTCTCTGTTTGGTCATTAGAAACAGCAAGCATGAACTCAGAAGCTGTTCAATGATAATTCCTTGCAATAAAATGGTGTTTTATTCTTGTGTTCTCTGAATCATGTTTGACTTTGCAGAAGCTTCCTAGAGTCTCTGGAGTATTCATATTTCAGCATTCATATTCCTCCAAGCTAGAAAACTAAGAAATGTGTCCTGTCTTTTTTCCAATTTTTCCTCTAATTTGGCATTCCTTCAGTTAAAGAAACATTATACCTGCTTTTCCAGATACTCCAATTTATCAAGAATTCACCTGTGGCAGATATAGCAGGACCTGTCTTTGTGTGTAGGACAGCCTGTGCCTCCTCCAATTCCATATACGTATTGGTTACTTTTAGAGGAATTTTCTGCAAAATAAATCCCAGCTCCAAACATCCCTCCAATGTATGCATGCCTTTCATCAAATCCTTTGTGAATAATAGCATTAATAAAAGGAGATCCTAAAATAAAAATATAGCATGTAAATATATATATATATGTACTATAGGAATTGTAACTTCATCTTAACATAAAATTAGCAAAATAATTTATCCATGTTCAATTATATAAACCAGAGTTCCCCAACCGGGGAGGGGGGGGGATGGTTCCTTGCGAGTGGCCAAGTATACGCAAGTGCACAGCTCCATTTGCACAAACAGCATGCACACAAGCTTGCCGCTCACACAAATGGAGGGTGCACCCACTGACCCACTGCTCGCACAAATGGGAATGCCCGTGTGTGCGTGTTTTCCTGCCATTCCCATTGACATTTCCACACATCTCAACCCAGGTGTTAAGCTGGGTTTCTCAGAAAAGAGAGAATCTTCAATTCCTTGTACAAACTAAAGACAGCAGCGGTGACGCCTAATTTTTTTTTTCTAATAGGAAGCAATTGCAGCACTGGTTAACATTTATGAACGTATTCATTTTTTATTGCTAAGCAACATGCACATTCTCTTGAGTGGTAGATTCCTTTTTCTGTCTGTGGAGAAGGATGGATTGCCTGGCATGCCATTTCATGAGATTGGATTAAAAAAACCTGGACAAAACAGTGCTCCTGATAGAATTTCCTCCACAATGGAACACTGCTTTCATAGCAGAACTTTTCTCCTTCCTTTTCATTCATGGACTCCTCCCCATTTCTTTGGGGAGCTGGAAAATACTCTAGAGCCTTATAGGAGGTGGAGTAGCACATCTGTACTGATAAGGGATGAAAAATCAGCCAGAGGTCCATTTTTGGCTTCTTGGAGCTGAGTCCAGAATCCAGAATCAAACAGTAGAATGGTAAATAAACCAAAGTACAATTTATGTACATTTAACCAGTTTTGTTATACTGCAACCTCACATTCTTAGAGGGCCGCCTTACATACCATGAAATAACATGCGTTCATTGTGATGGTTATGGTTTTCTTCTGAGACTTCTTTCTGACGATGACAAAATCTCTCTCTTAGCTTTTTATTCACAACCTTTTGAATCTATGGAAGAATGAAAAAAACAACATTGAGACCAAAATACAAAAGCCTGAGTCAGTATGACTCTATAAGCTGCATTTTTAAAATGGTTTCTGTGGTTTTTAAAAAAACTTAGTTTTAGTAATGATAACCAGAATAATTAAAGGCTAATTTAATTTGCTGCTTCTTTTTTGACAGCTTTGTCTCCTGTTAGTAAGGCTCACAAATATACCTTACGAACATAAATTCATACATCTCAGGCAACCTCAAGTAGCTCAATTTTTTGATGAACTATGAAATGGATACGATTTAACTACTTAAGATTCATACTTACCACAAAACATCATATCACTCCAATTAGTTTCTTTCCCCCCCCCCGTTATTTTATGCACTGTATCTTTACTGTATTCTTAAAAATCTAGTAGATAATGCTTATCCTTCCCTACACAGTTCAAATTAGCAGATTATTAACTGCATGAATATAATTGGGATAAACAAGAGAACAAACAGAAATTAATATATGTAGCTTCAGGTTGAATGGTGGAGTCCATGGTGCTTTCTGAGCTTGATTGTTTGCTTGTAGATGTTTCATTACCAGACTAGGTACTGTAACATCTTCAGTGCTAGAAGAGAGAGCAAACCCCACTCCCTTCTAGTACTGAAGGTGTTACCTAATCTGGTAACAAAATGCCTGCAAGCGAATAACAAACTCAAGAGCACCCAGAACTCCACGATTTGGATAAAATTAAGTTGCTCACTTACTCACTGGAGTAAAATATATTTGTTCTTGACTAAAACTGCACCTATTTTTGCCATCTTAAATAAACAAAGCAGAATTTTTCATAAGTAGGGAAATGGAACATTTCTGTAGTTGCCCCTTTGAAAGACAACAGAATCAAATGCAAAAAGCAATCCTATCTCTATGGAACCACAAGAAATAAATAAAATAAAATAAATAAAATAAGGGAGAACCTGAACTAGAAATTTGATAGCCTTAATATTCTAAAGCCACTAAGGGAGATGAAAAGTGCTTGAAATGTGCAGTCTTCCAAGCAGTGGTGAATGTTCATATAAACAAAGCAGCTGTCATCCAAGAGTGAACTTAGCTTGGTCCTTTGCAAGGGCTGGTGCAGTTGTTTCAAAAGCTGCCTCCAGCCTCTTTGCTTGGCTGCCTGGCTCCACAGAAGTATGATCTGTGCATGCACATGCAGACATGTGAGAACAGCCTTTGCGGCAGCTGCACAAATATGCAAAGGGTGAAGTTGCTTCAAAGAGACTTGCTTTGGTTGCATTAAGACGCTTGCATTTTTATATATACATGATTTTTATTAAATATTTTTTTATAAAGTTAAAAGATAAACACTAAAAATATAGAAGTAAGAAAAAAGAAAGAAAAAGAAAAAAGTACTGAGCCTCGGTGGCGCAGTATTTAGAGTGCAGTATTGCAGGCTACTTTTGCTGACTGCCTACAATTCGGCAGTTCAAATATCACCAGGCTTAAGGTTGACTCAGCCATCCATCCTTCCGAGGTTAGTAAAATGAGGACCCAAATTGTTGGGGGCAATATGCTGACTCTGTAAACTGCTTAAGAGAGTGCTGTAAAGCACTGTAAAGCGGTATATACAGTAAGTCTAAGTGCTATTGCTATTGAAAACAACTGAGCAAAGAAAAAGAATAAAGAACACTTAAAGTGATTTCCAGCAGTTATAGATATACTTAATAGAGTTTTCCTTCTTCAAAATTACAAAATTACATACAAAATTACCTTCCCTTCTCCCCATACAGCCCTTTTACATTGGTAAATCCAGAAGTCACCAGTTCATTTTTATTCATTTGCAGCAAAAAGGCCATTACTAATGTACTTTGTAAAGCATCTCTTTCAAATGCTTTGCCCACCCTGGATGATAGTCAAAAGAGCTTCAAAATCAAGAAACTGAACACAGTATCATCGCTACTTCCTTCTGCTGGGATCAACTGATTTGATGTTTCCATCAATAATTTTTGAACTAGGCATATAAAGCCTTTGAAACTTACCCTAATGACATTATATCTATTGAAGATTCCCCCAGCATTACCACCATCTCTATGTTCCCTGATGGTGCTTTGCATCTGTTAAACAATCAAACAGAAAAGTAAGTAAATGTAAAATCTTTAGTTGATAAAATTCTTGGATAAACCTAGGTGCATGCTTCCGATATTCAATTTCAATTCAGTTTATTGAACAATGGACAAGTATAGATGGGCTGCCAATAAATTAATGGGGGGTGGGGAGGAGTAGAGAGAACAGTCTTCACTTGGTGGTGATCTGGAAAAACAAAGACATCCTGTTTATCTCGCTTTCTCTTTTCTGCTGTTTATCTGGAACCAAGTCAGTCAAGAGAGATAAGAGTGATTAATGCTGCTAGGCAACAGTGCATCAGCCCATCCTCTCTAGGGTATACCTCAAATGCTCACACCTCCTTGGGACCTAACAGCAGGCTGCTATGGGAGCTGCCTTAGGCTTTCACCCCTGCAAATCCTTCCCATATGCTCCTTTCTACTTCACCTTGCCACAACCATTCATGGTTGCAATGTTAATTTTTATCAAACTACTTTTTTGATTTTGCAAGAGGCTGCTTAGCAAGCTCCAATTTAGCACACCTCTGTATAAATCCATGTATGTTTCTTGATTACAATAAAAAAGAGGTTTGTTACCGTTTCTGTTAACATTTTTTCACCTCCACATTTAGCTTATGTCCTAGTATTCCTTGAAAGTCTCCCACCCAAGTACCAGCCAGCCTGGACTGATTTCGCTTAGTTTACAAGCGCAGAGGACATCAGCTGGGTGCTGCCACCTTCTGACTCATAAAGAAAGAAACTCTTTCAAACTTTGGGTTGTATGAGACTAGCCGTGCAATTTTGGCTTCTCCCAGCAATAACAAGACTTCATTCCAGACTTATTTCTACACCTGGTCAACTCACAAGACTCTATCTGCACATAATGTATTATAAGCAAAGAAAATTTTTGAAAAAAAGCTAATTATCTAAACAGAATTATCACTGAGTCAGTGGGTTTGGGACTAGATGTAAGGAAAAATGTTTAAATTTTTCCCTGTCTGCTACTTCTGAAATTTCTAGTTTCCCCATCTGCTTTCAGTAGATATTTAATTATATCTATTGCATTAAATCCTGATTGCAAACTATCCTTAAGAGGGATTTCTTTTTAAGTACAGGAAATAGAAAGAGGCGTGTAAGATCTCTTCAGACTGAGGGAAAGTAATGCTTCCATAAAATTCTGAACTTTTCATGCGGCAAAGCCTTTTTAGGCAGAAGAACTTAAATAAGCCACACATTCGTTCTAGCAATATGCAAAGAATACATGTAAGAAAAAATATATTTCTATGTGAAAAGAGAATGTTCTAGTATGAAAGTGACTCAAAGATGTGACAAACTTCCACCCTAGATTTCCATTCTTTGTATATCTTGGACTATGCTACCGATAGGAGAGAATACCTGAAGCTCAGTAGTCAACTGTGGAGTCCTTGGTGCTCTTTGACCTTGGTTGTTTGCTTGCAGACATTTAGTTACCCAACTAGATCTCCAATGCTAGAAGGGAGTGGCGTTTTATAGGGGTGTTCTAGGCTGGCAGTAGCTGCTGGGGTAGAGAAAAGATCCCAATCCCCATGTCATCTGTCCTCTTGATTTTTGTTTCTTATTTAATTTTTCTAATTTTAAGTGTTTTGTACTACTTTTTTCACTTTTTATTATCCTGTAAGCCACCCAGAGTTGCTGTAATACCAAGAAGGGTATCATATAAATAAATATTGTAGCTTGCCCTCTCAATGTTGGTGAGGTGTTGCTTTCTCCTTGGTAGTTCCTTGGTTAAGCTGCTGTTTCCTGCTTGATTGTTTGTCTAATGTTAATCCCTGCTTATCAGGGTGTTGATTGCTGGTAAGATGTTCTGCTTTTGTTTCCCTTTTAGCTTCCTTTTGTCTCTACTGAATGGTATGTAAATGTGGTTTACTTCTATGTGCCTTTTGATGGCTGATTTGTCAAGCATCCAGGAATTCATTAGCATTTTTTGGATTTAGCTTGCTTTAGGATGCTTTCAGTTTCCTACCTCTGAAACAAGTTTAAGCTTTTCCATGTTTTGTGAAATTAAGGAGATTTCATGTCTCCTGCAAAGTAGATTGCATATGTACAAAATTTCACTATGTTATCTAGAATTACCTGACTACCTGGGTGCTGCATAGTACAGAAATGTTTGTAAAAAAAGAAACAATTCTATTATATTCAAAGACCTATCTAAAGTTTTTTTAAAAATTGATTTTTTTTACCTCCTCTTCTACAGATTGGTATTCTTTATCATCAGGAGCAAGATCTATAAGAATTGTCCCTTGGCTGACACAGTGAAAAGTCAGATAAGGATTGGTGCCTGAAAAGGAAAATATGTTAAACTCTTATTCACATAAATTCACCAAGAAGAACCAACTATAAAACTAGGACCGAATGTCCGCTGCCATCATTTAAAAATTGCTGGATTCTAAAAAGGAAGTTAAATTAAGTTATTTTCTAAGGTTTGCAATCTCTTTGTCCGTAGAGATTAAACAAGACCTAAGATTCTAGAGTACTCAGAAAATATACTCTCTCATAATTGATTATAAGTCTTAAAAAGAAAAAAACCAGGATGGCAATTCCTTAAACTTGGAAGATTAAAACAACGTCCCTGAATATGAACAGTGACAAGAGCTACATTACATGGGAGAGGCTGATCACACGTGGAACTAACTTCTTGGCTGAATCTCAAATTGATTTTTGGTAGATTAAGAGACTCACCCTGTTGCCCACCTAGAAGCCTCTCTACACCTTTTATTAACTTATGACGATGTCCATAGGCATTGATGCCAATTTCTTTCAGCTCCTCATGGCCCATGTCTGCTAGTACATCCAAGGTAATCTGAACAGCACAGACAGAAGGAAAAAGTAGCATTTTTCATTAGTCCCCTTGAACATAGGAAAGACAGCATCAATATATTTTAAGTAGAGATGGGGAATGCAATCTAGGAAGATTAAGGACCCAGCCAGCTGGTCAGATAAATTGTACTGGGAGCAGCTGAAGACAGGAGAAGAATAACTGGTAGCAAGCACCAAGCATTTCTCTCTCTCTTCAACTTTCAGCACAATTTGGGGTTCATGTCCCCAACATAGAGAATAATTACAGAGAGCAGAAATGGGGACATAATTATTCATGTGTGTGTTGGGTTTTTAAAAATGCAATTTTAACTCCCCCTGCTGAAACAATGGATGAAAAAATGCTAGGTCATTAACAAAAGCACCAAGATTTATTCCTTTTTTGTTTTTAAGATAGAACTTAGGCAAATTATTTGCACATTAATTGAAATAAGAAACAAAATAGACCTAATCAGTGGTGGGTTGCCCCCGGTTCACACCGGTTCTATAGAACTGGTAGTAAAACCGGCGGGAGGCTCCACCCACCAACCCCGACGTCACCAAAATGCTTCTGCACATGTGCAGAGGAGCATGCGCACAGCCCCGCTACAAACCAGTAGTAAAGGTAAGTAGAACCCACCCCTGGACCTAATGCTATACAATACAAGATGTTGATACTTGCATTTTTAAAAAGAGGGCAATAGGGCTGAAGAAGAAATAAACTGACTGAATTGCTTTGCTCAGCTTAAGTAAAACTGAATGTAATCAAATAGCTGATTCCAGATAACTTCTCAGTAGATCATTTTAAATTTGTCTCTATAAAAACAGGGTTCATACCATATCTGCTTTATTTGAAAGTCAATTTACCATAAAGTATGTCAGGTGTATGTTTGCTTTAGAAACAAAAAATCAAATATCTCTCACAGAAAACTTAGCTATGAGATTCTTTGGATGCTAGCCATCATAACTTTCCATTTAATGCACAATATTGAACTGAAATAGAAGAATAAATGCAATACTAGCTTAGGACCATTTTTACCTGTTCCGTTTCAAATATATCCCGGAGATGTTCCAGACCCAAGCTTTTCAAGAACTGGCTGATATTCATGTCAAGACCAACAACTACAACAAAAATAACCTTCATGTAAGTCATCAATACAAACTATCCACCATTTAAATCCTTAGTCCTTTAACTGTAATATTTTCAATCTGAAATACTTCCTCTTATTGCATCTTCTACAAGAAAGCAAATCTTTACTAGAAAAAAAATTATAAAGAATAAGCAAGAGACATGTATGGGATTTTTTATGGGTGATAGTATGAATTCTCATTATTAATAAAATCTCTTCTAATGAGCATTAAGGGTTACATGTGGCAGATAAAGCTACCATCTGCACATTCTGTTTTTCTCTGCTCTATCCACCTCCTCCTTCTTTAATGTTATATAACTTAATGAGTAACTTACTCATGCTGGTTGGCAGCATAACAAACACCAAAAGATATTTCTCTCTCCAAACATCCATCATCCTACAGTTTTTACGATTTTGACTATAGTTTTATATATGCCTTATATCAATCAAATTTATACAAAGACGAAGTATCTCTATATGTTCACTAATTTAAAGTCCCAAATTTAAAAAGACAAAGTCCAGAAAAATCGTTAATCCAAAGGGAAAATCTGTTTTATCTATGTCTTCAAGTGTTAAGATTTTTCCCCCGACAAAGCTTTAGAAATCATGATCAAAATAAGGACCTTAGACTTATTTCCTCAAAAATTAGGATTAAAGATGATTTCCCATTATGCGTATTCAAGTGTTAGGGTTTTTTTTACAGAGCCTTAAAAGTCATGATCTAAACAGACTTATTTCCTCAAAAAATAGGATTAAAGATTATTTCTCGTTATGCACAGTTAGGGCTGTGACTTTGGCAATTTCCTATAATCAGGAAGAGTACCTTCTCCTTCTTTCCTCTCTGTTCCTGTTGCTCCATCTCCAGCATTAGATGGGCCCGCCACTGCAATTTCAGCCAGAGGTCCTGCAAGGTTATCTATACTGCTGGCAGCAGACAAACAAGATGGAGTGGATGCTGGTGAAATGATAGAGGCACTAACAACAGTGGCCTGAGGTTTAAAGCATGTTGGCAAGGCTTCAGGAGGCATTGCATCAATAAGCAGGGCTCTGATATCATCAGCCTGGAAATAAAATGGTGAGTTAAAAAATAAAACCAAAATCAATCGTTTTTAAAGAAATAGTTTAAACAAGATAACTATCTCTATACTCAAAAGCAAACATTCAAAGAATATTTGAATATTTGCAAATATTCAAGTCATCAATCTTTGGAACAATTCCTGTTTTTGGAAGTAGTAACATAGAGTTTGAAGGACATTTACTTTCCACAACACTTTGAAATATTACAAAATAGTTTACCCTCAGACAGTTCTCTTTTATGTGTACATAAATTTTTAGGTGTTCACATATGCCAAGCATTTAAAAAAAAAAAACACTTTGTTTTGAAAGTTACAGATAAAGTTCAAGCAATAAAAAATGAAAGGAATAAAGCAATTTGTTAAATAGTAATTGCAACCACATTACACACTATAAGTCGTCTGAATGAAGCAATGGATTCAAAAATCAGGCATTCAATCTGCACAAACAAAAAATATTTTCTTATCCTGCCCTACCAAACATCCAATATATATTGAACCAATGTGGTATAATAAATTGTGTGGTATTCTGTATTGTTTACTGGATGATAATAGAGCACACTGTACAAACAACCTTAGCTCCTCAAAATGTTTAAAGAAACAGATTCAGGTCAAATCCATTTCCGTACTTTTACTGAGATATTTCACTATATTTCACTCCACGCAGAAGCGCCCGCTTTGCAAGAGCATTGCTTCCATGCATCGCATTTTCTGGCGTTTTCCTCTCTGATTCTCCAATGCAATTTGCAGAGCCGTGTACCCTCCTCCTTCTTGGTGGCTAAAGGGGAAAACTGGGCATGTTGATAAAGTACACTCTCCTGTTGCTGGAAGAAGGTCCAGGTTGGTTCCCCCCCCCCCCCCTCTTAAACTGAACTGCACTTTTTTTCTGACTCGTTGATAAATGATCCTGGGAGAAAGCAGCAGCTGGCCACTGCGGATGTGGCACTGATCCGTTTTGGGTGGTCAAAATGCCAAGTGAATGTGGGGAGCTGAGACATTTCTCCTTCACACCCCCCCCCCCCCCCCCGAGAGCTCTGAGTTTTCTCAGGGTCTGCCTGGAAGCAGCTCCAGCAGTTCTGACAGCTGCCTTCACAACTTGTGCGAGGACTGGAGATCCCCATTCCCTACAGCAGCAGACTTCTCCTTAACCTCCTGAGATTTCTGCCCCCATGAAAATAAACCCCCACCCCACCCTACCCACTTCAGTTAAATAGATAGGATTTGTTTTAAACTGAGAAAAAGATCTCTGCTATTTGTTATCAAAATCCAAATGGAAGGGAGGACGCCGGTGATCCTGATGCTGGAAGGCAGAGGCAGAATTCTTTTTTTCTTATTTTCCTCCCCCAAAATTAAGGTGCGTCTTATACTCCGGTTAGTCTTATACTCCGAAAAATATGGTAAATGTAGTCAATGAAGGAAATAAATGTAATCAGGTGATCTAAATACTGAAATAAGAGTCATTATTTTTTAAAAACCAACTTACTGTGGCAAGATCCAAAGGGGTTTGGCCTTCTTGGTTCTTCATTGTTGGATCTGCTCCATGAGCTAAAAGTAGAGCACAGAGTTGCGTCCTTCCTTTTTGTGCTGCTTCATGCAATGGCGTAAATGCCCATTTATCTGTAGCGTTTACACAGGTATTATACTTAATTAATAGAGCTGCTATATCCACATGCTGAGGAATAATGAAAAAAAAAATAGGAAGAATTCCCAATTTAAAAAGAGAAAAGCAAACATTGTTAAATGATTTGTTACATATTCAAAGCTATGACAGAGCTGGATGTATGCAGCACTGTAAACGTAATAATTGATATAATTAGATAATTCTATACAAAGAGATCTATGAGCAACAAGCATACTAGTTAGCCAGTATGTAAAATATGCAACTTTCAGTTCTTCAACGATCTAAACTTCCTTAATATGGGAGATGCATTTTGTCATTTTTATTTTTCTATGCAAAAAATGAAAAAAGGTAACACCAATTATAACTAAGACAGAAAATAGAAGACAGAACTTTTGATCTGTACATCATTTAATCTAGTCTTAGTTTTCACCTTCATAATAGAGAAATATTTACCAAGAGATAACATGATATTCACATTACTATTTAAAACAATTATGTGTGTGTGTGTGTGTGTGTGTGTGTGTTTTTAAATCAAGTAGCAAGACAGATCTTATACTGTGGGATCCTTGGTGCTCTCTGAACTTGGTTGTTTTCTTGCAGAAGTTTCATTATCCAATTACGGTAAGTAAAATCAGTGCTAGAAGGGAATGGAGTTTGCCCTTTGTTTATACACAACTGGTCTGTCCTGTAACCTAGTTGGGTAATGAAATGTCTGCAAGAAAACAGCCAAGCTCAGAGAACACCAAAGACTTCAATTCAACCGAGTTACAAATATTCTCATCAATTGGTACAAATCTTACAATTCCCTTTGGAGATATTATAGCAACATTTTGTAGAAGACTGAAATAAAATCAATTTTATGCTGTTATTCACTTTTGGTTGCTCTGGTTTCTTCTACTTGTTTTATACTTGTTCGTGTAATGCAAGCTGGACGTCTTGACTACATTGAGATTATTAATTAATGCTTACCCCATAGGATGCCGCATTATGTAGTGGAATTAATCCTCCCTTGTCTTGAGCGTTAACATCAGCACCGTGTTCTAGAAGATACTCAGCAACTTCCAAATTATTATAACCAGCTATGTGTAAAAAGAAACACAGCATGAATGAAAACTCAGCAATGAAGGAATCGTAGACCAAATATCGTAAGAAATTATTAAAAAGACATGTACTTTTAAAAGTTTCTTAAATCTGTTCCAAGGAGGATTTCCTATGAATAAATTAACCCAATTGCTCACTTACCTGCAAGATGTAATGGGGTGGAGTTTCGGCCCTGGGTATCCCGGCAATTGATGTTTTCTGGAGAGCATAATTTCTGAACTCGTGCCAGGCAGCCCTTTTTAGCAGCATCCAGCAGTGCAGCATCACCTCGCAGCAGGTCCTGGATATCAGTATCTCCCTCTTTCACCAAGTCCAGAGGGGTGTTGCCATCTCTGTTCTTTTTGGTTGGATCTGCTCCATGCTGCAAACAACATTTCTACTGTTTTACAACTGAAAACTTTATCCTCCATCCCCCCAAACATAGTACCCATGCCATTTATGTTTTAGTGTTATATAGGGCTATCAAGGTGCTTTAAAAACAGTATAAGCAAACAAGACACTTGCTTTAAGAACATGTTTTCCAAATTTAAAAGAAGGTATAAACAGATACCGTGCTATAACTAATATCTAACTTTAAGCAGTTTTCATTTCACGCTCTTCTGATTCATTCTCCAAAGGGCAGTAATATGCTGAGAATCGTATCTTTATTTGAAAATGTATCCCACAATGCATTATCTCTGCAGGCAGTTACAGGTGGTCCTCAATTTACAACCATTTGGTGACCATTCAAAATTACAATGACACTGACAAAAGTGACTTACAACCATTCCTCATGCTTACAACCATCACAGCATCCCCAAATCTCTTATAAAACCACCTTTTGAAACATTTTTTGAGGAAAATGAAATGCTAAATTAAATTGTTAGTGGGACAGAGAAATTGACAATAAATCTGGTTGTGTTCATGACAACAGTACTGTTGATAGTCTGAGAAATCAAAGCATTTAGAAAAAAGCAATTTTATGGATTTCTGGGGAAGCAATGGCAGACTGAAGCTGGCTTTGCTTCCCTGTCTCTCCACTCTGAAAAATTTACTGGCAGCATTGTATCCTAATTGTTACTAATAGTTTTGCAGCAGATTACAAACCAGCACTGATATGCAGATGATTGAGTATACTGTTCAGCATACATGCAAACAATTCCTTTGCAGAAATATTTCAATTTGTAGCTATACAGCAATCTAAATTTAGAGTACAATGCCTTCCTTAAAAAATAGAACTGTTTATTATTATCCCAAGAAGAGTTCTATTCTGAAGAAAATTACACAGAATTGTTGCATGTGTTATTATGCGTCATAGTCTGAAGTAAACAAAGACTCTTTGTGGGAAAAAAACCCAATTTAAAGTACATACTTTGAGGAGGAGTTTGCAGATTTCATATTTTCCCTTTGCTGCTGCTTCATGTAGCGGTGTAAACTTCCATAAATCAGCAACGTTGACAGAAGCCCCATGTCGCACTAATAACTCTGCAACTTCATAGTGTCCATATGAACAAGCGTTATGTAGAGGTACTAATCCACTGATAAGTTAAAAAAAATTAAGAGTATTTATCAAGATCTAAAAACAAAAAAATATAGTTATCCTTCAAAATAACTGCCATCTTGCTTTTCTATTTTAGTCAAGTTATTTTAACTGAGGTTATAAACTGTCTACATCCAGGAGCTCACTTTACAAGGAAGAAGAATCAGCTTTCATAACTGTGAGAAATGTAGCAATAATCTAACCACTGCAAGGATAAAGTTGAAATGATCAAGATGGAGGGACAGCAATCTCAGTTTCTGCACACATTAATACTGAGCAAGATTGAACTGATGTGAATTTAATCTACTTTTTTCTTTTTTGGCTATAAAAAAACACAATAAATGAAGAAGTCTTAAACTGCACCTAAAAGCTCTAGGAAGCAAGCACAGGAAGGCCAGTATATCTGCCAGTTGTCACCTTAATGGGAACAGCATCAATTTGTGCCAGGAAGACAATAGGTCTTATAAAATGTTTAAAAGTATCTAGGGATAGTCCAGGATGAAAGGAAAATTGCACTACAGCACAGATGGTAAATTTTATTATTTATTTTTTTATCCCACCTTTAAATTTTTTTATTAATAATACAAGGTGATAAAGACACCTAATACTTCTTCCTCATATTTTCCCCACAACAACAATCCTATGAAGTGAGCTGGACTGAGAGAGAGTGATTGGTCCAAAATCACCAGCCCAACTTTCATGCCTAAAGTGGGACTAGAATTCACAATCTCCTGGTTTCTAGCCTGTTGCCTTAACTGAGCTAGAAACGGCTCTCATAGATACTGGCTCTATCAGATTAGATATCTTGATCTTCTGCTTGAATTTGACCAAGGTTTTAATGAGCAGATATTGCTGGAAGTAGTATACCAAATTGTAACTGATCTGTCTCTGTAGGGAAGAAATAATGTATTTAACAAGGTGAGGTAGACCAAGGAAGTTTTCTAAAGATGAGAAAGAGTTCATTCTACCCATATATAAAACAGTACATTGCATGGTCTCAATTACCCTTTATCCTTTGCATGAACATCTGCTCCATGATGAAGCAAGTATTCAACTACTGAAACTCGATTATAACCTGCAGCAAAGTGCAAGGGGGTTGAATGACGTCCCTCCAAATCTCTACAATTCACATTCTGAGGACTGCAAAGTTGCTATGTAAAAATGAGAAAGGAAAACATCCATAGTAGAATTCACCACAGACATTTTAAATAGACATTTCACACCTCAAGACATTATAGTAAGAATAATAAAGATTCCTGGACAATATAAAAAATAACTAAAGCTCTGGGTGCAAATTATCTTACAATAAAATAACTAAGATTCCATACAGTTTATTTTTCAGAAATAAAAAAAAAAATCCAATCATGTGAAGGTAATATAGCATTTGATACAAAGTAGTGCAAAGAAGTGGAAATCCATCAATATGTCATCTTTTATTTTTACTAAGAAAAATTAATCATTTGGAGTTTTATAAGAAACTATTTAAAAACTGTAGTTCCATTAATAACCTAACAGGAGGGTTAAAAACTACGCATGGACATAAAAAAAACATGGCAAACATGGCTATCTAAACAAATAATATCACAAATTGAATACAAAACACTCTATAATAAAACTGATTTGGGGCATATTTCATCTTCTGGCATATTTTAAGTGCTCAGCACAGAATCTGGCAACATTGTATGTTGTAGGAGGATTGGTATCTGAGAGCAGTAGGGAGGTGTAGAGTTGTCCTGAATGGTTAAATAAGGCCAGCTAATATGGTCAGAAAAATGTCCAAATAGGGAAGCAGAATATCTCATAAATATATGTGGTACTTGTTACAGAAAAACAGGCCCATTTTTTGCCTCCCAAACCCTCCATGTGTCCCGTTTTCAGCCACCCCAACACCAGGGAGGGCAAAAATGGGACCTATGGAGAGTTTGGGAGGCCAAAAGCGGACCCATTTTTAGCTGCAGAGTGCTTCTGGATGCCAGGGAGGGCAAAAACAGGACGCGCGGAAGGTTTGGGAGGCCAAAAACAGGCCTGTTTTTAGCCTGCAGAGTATTTCTGAACACCGGGGAGGGCAAAAACAGGAGGGTTTGGGAGGCCAAAAACAGGCCCGTATTCACTCTATAAGACGCACAGACATTTCCACTCATTTTTTTGGGGGGGGGAGTGCATTTTATAGTCTGAAAAATCCGGTAAATAGCATTTATTCAAGAATAGGACACTTTTCAGTTAGGAAAGTTTCAAACCCAGTACAGTAGAACGGTCACGAATGCTTCTGACCATGACCAGATTGGGTTCCAACCAAAAAATTCACTTCTTTTTTTTTTCACAGACGATTTCCCCTTCCATGACATTTTATTTTGTAAGCGTCAAATTTCCAAAATTAGGTTCGGATCACGACCAAATTGGTTTGTGACCAAAGTTATGGAACGAATTATGGTTGTGACCAGAGGTTCTACTGTATTACTTTTCACAATATTAACTACTACATATATATTTAATGTCAAAGACTGCTTTAGCACAAAATATTATTCTCTCCTCTAAGCTTGATTTTCCTGTTTTCATTAATTATGGTTTATAACTTTATCCCAAAGTGATGATGCATTGTGGTTAATTATTTCTGCTTTAAAAAAAATCTAACTTAAAGTAACAGTTAAGCACAATTAAGACTAATCAGGGTATAAGGCAGGAATGCAATACTAATTAGCGTTAATAAAAAAAATAAAAATTCTAACAACCTAAAAATTGTAGGACAGAAGCATTTAAGTCCAATGATCACTGTAGACTATCATCATAAAAAAAAATTCCTCATTGTATTTCAAATGGCCATATTTATCTTCAATTTCTTATAATTCTTAAATTCCAACATACCTTTACAGTTTCTAAATCTCCAGCTTTAGATGCTTCCAACAGTCTATAATCTACATCAGAAGTATGTACTGGAGTATTTTCTATTTAAAGATGAAAAAACAATAAGCATTGTGGCTTTATAGGACATATTCAGGTTAGAAACTATTATTAACGCTCAGTATAACAGTATATTCTTTCTAGCATTGTGATTATAACTGAGCTATATATATGAACCTTCCCAATTCAAATCTCATCCCATGCATAAATTCATGGACTTAGCATCAGACCCAATATTGTAGATCAAAATAAGTATAATTAAAGGACTTAATAGGGCTAACTTACTAATACTTAAAACATTTAACTCTATATACATATATATGCAGCAACCATGCCATTCCTTTTTAAATGGACAACAGCAACTTAAGAAATGAAGGGCATCACATTTTGAAAAAAAAGAAGGAAATGTAATTAAATCTAGTTTACAACAACATCATTCATTGTACTACACCTGTAGGAAAATGTGTAAATTGGAGATTTACACATTGCACTTCCCAATTTTTTATTCATTAGCACCTCTTGCACTCTTGTAATCAGCACTCTACCAAATACTTCCCAGACAAACATAAACTAATCTCCTGTAGTTTTTGCATTCACACTTTTTCCTTTTTAGTGAAACCAAAATCACATTCTTCTAATTGTCAGACATAGATACATTCTTCACATATGCATAGTAATATCCCACAGCCTCTTTATAAGACAAGCTCATTCATATTTTAATATTTCTCCAGTTATAATTAATATCTATAATTATATCCTTACCAATTTTTAACATTCTAACAGCTATTATGACTGTAATGTTTTTTTTTCTTGGACACCAAAATTTTTAGCACTTGTTCAATTTTACTTTTTGATATAGCACAATTATACTTTCCAAACTCTAAAATACTCTTCCTACCATGTTATTTATCTAATTTACAGAATTACCCATTTCACCCAAGATGACTCTAGTCGATGTATAACAATGGGTAAAACCACATATACAAATAATTTTAAAAAGTAAATATTATAAAAAGCGTAGATTCATAAATCCTAAGTGAAGAGAGGATAAGCATAAACAGCTCAGGATCTAAGCATGTCTGTAGTTCCCCAGGACCCACAAATTGGTAACATAAGCAGGTGTTGAAGACCTGCTGGTATGTCAAAAGGGATGGAGCTAATCTAATTTGAGGAGGAAGAATGTTCCATAAGGCACATCGCAGAAAGCACATCTCCTGAGATGCACCAAATACAGGTTCATAGTTGATGGTACCTACAGTATGCCTCTCTGTCAGATCTAATGAGGCAGACTGATATAACCAGGGAGAAGCAGTCCCTCAGATAGCCCAGTCCCATGTCATGAAGGTTTTTAAAGGTTAAAATGAGCACCTTGAATTGGACCCAAAAGAAAACTGATATTTTATTTTATTTTATTTAGAGAATTTATATGGCTGCCCACTCACTTTCAGTGCCTTTAGGAGGCTTCAAAAAAATGAAAATCCAATATATAAAGAGTAAAAACAATAACCCCACCCCAACCCTCCTGGCAACACACAAGCAATCAAATTCCTTCATTTGTTTCATCCCAATTAAACTGAATCACTTTTATTTTGAATTATTTTTACTGGTGCCAACAAAAGGGAACATACGTTGCCCAGGGTTAAATTGTGGTGTTGAGAAAGGTTGTTTGCTTGCAGATGTTTAATTATCTGACTAGGTAACATCTTCAGTGCTAGTGAGTGGGGGTTTTGCTCCGTTTATATAAAGTAGTTTCGCCTGCCAGTGTTGGTGCAGATGTGGTTTTCTCCTTGGTAGTTCCTTAATTAGGGTATTTTTTACTGTTTATTTGTTTTTCTGGTGTTAATCCCTGTTGGTTGCTGGAGAAGATGTGTTCTGGTCTTTTTTGTTTCCTTCTTAGCTTTTTATCGTTCCTTTGAATGGTCTGTAAGTGTGGTCTACCTATATATGCCTTTTGATAGCCAATTTGTCTGAATGTCAAAAATCTAGGAATTCTCTAGCATTTTAGATTTAATTTGGTCTAGTATGCTTACGATTTCCCAGTTGAAACTATGGTTGAATCTGACCATGTGTTGTGAGATTAAGGACTTTTCACTGTGTCTTCTGACTGCTAGCTGGTATTCATGGATGTGTCCTGCTAGTCTTCCTCCCAGATGTCCTACATAGTATGTTGTAGATGACTTCCTTTTTTTCCTTTTAGGGCTACCAGGTCTTTAGGGTTATTTAAGATGTTTTGGAGAGCTCTGGTTGGTTGGTTTCTGTGCTACGGTGTTGTCATGTGTTTGCAATATCTTTTATCTTTTTCATAGCTTGTGTTGGTTGTGCTGTAGTAGGCTGAATGGTCAGGCACTTTTTGATAAAGTTGTGTGAATATACATTTTGTTGAAAGATGTAATAAAGGTGGTCTTTTTCTTTTTCTTAGGAACTCCTTTTCCTTAAGGTAGATAAAACAGTGCAGTAATAACCACAACAGGACCATCCAAATGTAATGAACAAGACCTCTAATTCCAAATAAAAAACATGATTAAATGCATCACTGCATGCTTAACATGCAGTCTAGAACAGAGTCCGGCTTGGCGGCCCGGCTGTGGGGAGAGAGGGGAACTGGGCTGCACGAGCGATGGGCTGGCACACACACACAGTTTGACTTGCACAAGCGACAGCCTGCCAGTCACATGGTCCAATTGCAAATAGCCCACGGCCCAGTAGTAGGCTGTGGCCCAAGGATTGAGGACCCCTGGTCTAGAAAAATTTCTCAGCTCAGTCTCTGTAATAATCTTAAAACTAGAACGGTTTGTTTGATTGCCTATTTTTTGTATTCCTCTATAATATAATCAGAACCATGCATTTAAAATAGCTGGAAGTGACAAGCTGTAGGAAACAAACACACATTTTCTATCCAGATGTTTATTGTTATTTTGTTATTTAATAATAAAAGATGAGAGACATGAGCAGTTTTACGAAAAAGAGAAATTAAGGCCCACTAGGTTTATGTAGCAGAAAATAGCAAACAGCAGGAAACAGTCATGCACATTTTCTGTCCAGATTTTTAACGTTATTTTGTTCTTTAATAAAAATAGAGGGACATAAGCAGATTTACGAAAAGAGAAATTAAGACCCACCAATTGACTCATATTTTTATTTTAAAGTTATTTTTTCACACTTTTAAATTGATAATAATTTTGCAGAAATGCAGAGCAAGATATTTAAAATGAATTTCAAAAAACTAAAATTAGAACCAGACTTTCTTCTGAAAATCAAAATTATTCTTCTGTTGTCAAACAACAAAAATACCTACCATTCAGTATTTGCTGCACTGCTTCATTACCCATTTGTGCTGCTGTGAAACCTTGTAAGGAGATGATGGAGGGGTCGGAGCCGTAATTCAACAGGAGGCGACATGTCTGCAAGTGACCTGCCAAAGCAGCCCTGTGCAAAGGAGTCTGTCCAAGTGTGTCCAGTGCATTCATCTAAAGGGAAAAATGAATAATATGTTCATTTATACATATGTGTTAATTTGGAGTATTTATATAACATTTTCCACTGCAAGCTTATTTATTATTTCTATTTCACTTCATAACCTACGTGATAGACAGAAACCAAGTTAAATGAGATTATATAGGATATTCATTTAGTTGCCCTCAAGCTGCAGTAACTCATTTAAGATTATAAATGATTATACTGCTGCTACCTATACTACTTTGATAGTGTTTCTTTCATGCACAATAAGTGACATAATGGGATTGTTAGTAATGGAATAATGATGCTACTAAAAACTACTTATAGCAATTATAGTATCATGTGTTCAGAAAAGAAAAATGCCCTCCCCCCCCTTAGACCTTAATCTAAAGATTAACCTTATTGAAAAAAGAACAGATTTTTCAAATTGCTAGATATGTGTCTTAGACATGCAAGAAGGCCCAATCAGCCAGGGAATTCCATCTGCTGGGGTCCAGGAAAAGAGCCTTCTCTGAAGTCGCTCCTGCCCTTTGGAACATCTTGCCCCCACCCTCCACCTGAAATCAGGTCGGCTCCCACTCTCCTGCCACTTGGCCTGGGGCTCTAATGATGAAGGAGAATGCTGGAGGTAGTTAATAATAGATTCTCCCCTCACACCCAAACTCATCCTCCTTCCTCATCTTTTAGTTATAGCTGATAATTTGTATGTTACAGTGTTTCATTTTGATTATGTACATGTTTTTATATTGTTTTATTCTTTTTAATATTGTAAGCTGCCCAGAGTTACCTTGTGGTTAGATGGGCGACATACAAATTTAATAAATTAAAAGAAAAGTATGGTAGCAGTCAGATATACTGTAGAGTAACAATGTAACAAAGCAGTGCATTGAGAACAGCTGGTTTTACTTCATTCTATATTGAATGACAGAGTCTTCTCATAGATCAAGGTATTCTCAACGGTTTCATCCAGTGTCACAGCTGAAAAGCATTCATTTTACAAACACAAAGACTTACAAACACAAACGGTTGATACTTATCATCTATCACTCCATTTAACTTGACAGAATTAGAAAACAGGAAAGCAGATTTCTAATTAAAATTTCTTAAATATATTGCTCTTTATCTGTTTGCTTTTTTTCTAAAAAAGATGTTAATATAGTAGGAAAATGACATTCAAAATATAAGCAAGCTATAAGATACAAAAATATAGCATGAAACTATGAACATAGTAAAATATATAATTTAGACACAAAACTCCAGTTATATATTAGGAGGATGTCATAAAATAAACCGGTAAAAGAATTCTTCATATTTCAAATTAGTTTTCTTACAATACAAATATTGTATTTTCCTACCACTGAATCAGGGGTGAAATGCTCCTGGTTCGGACCGGATCGGCCGATTCAGTAGCAATGGAGGCGGGTGGTTCAGAGAACGGGTAGCGAAAATCCCTGCCCCTCCCCCCCATGCCGAGCATCATCAGAGGCTTTTTTTTTTTTTTTACTTTTAAAAACATTTTTTTTTAAAAATCTTCGGCCGAAAAGGTTATAAAAAAAATATTTAAAAAAAAAAAAAAAAAAAAAAAAAAGCCTCTGACGATCAGGCAACTCAGCTGGGATCGTCAGAGGGTTTTTTTTACATTTTAAAAGCATTTTTTAAAAGGTAAAAAAGCTGAAGCCTGCTAGGCAAAAAATGGGTGATGTAGGCAAAAAATGGGAGGTGGGGGGTTCATTTTTGGGAGGGAGGGAGGGAGGGAGGGAGGGAGGGAGAAGGAAGGAAGGAAGGAAGGAAGGAAGGAAGGAAGGAAGGAAGGAAGGAAGGACTACAAATCTGGCACTAGATGCAGCTTCAGAGGATAATCCAGGGTTGGAAGGGACCTGGAGGTCATCTAGTCCAACCCTGCTCCAGCAGGACATTGTTTCTGTCTTTTGATCCCCGTCACATGGTTACATAACCACGCCCACCCAGTCACATGACCCCCACCAAGCCACGCCCACAGAACCGTTAGGTAAGAAATTTAGATTTCACCACTGCACTGAATTCATTTTTTATAAATGAAAAATCACATATTTGTAATGAAAACTGAAATGTTCCAAGCACTGCATTAGGCCTCCATATATTAAAGGGACCCTTACTCTAAGTATATTCCATTAAAGTTTCTTTGATCTTTGGTACATACCAAAGACCACTAATAGCACAAAATCTTGCTCACAATCAAGAGTATTTTTTTAAAAAAATCATGATGTGGTGTTTTGTTTTTGTTTTTAATTGGAAATTATTTGCCTGTCAGGAATGTAACACAAATCATTAACTTTATCTTTAAAAAGGAGATAATGTATTATTAAGGCAGATATCTTGTTTTCAACTAGAAGCCAAACATATTTAAATTAGAGCTATATGCCTTTAAAATAGAAAGTTGGGCAGTAATTTTCTTGCTAAAGGCAATAGACACTATCATTCTCTCCATTGTTGTTTATTTTTATGATTTTTTTCCCCTAAATTTCCATTTAGGAAAAATAGCAAGAAAGAAACGAAGAAGAAAACAAGGAAGAATATATATATACCCAAATATATCCAAATAAAGAAAGCAAAAACAATTTCTGCTTTTTCTTGTTAGCAATAAGGACTATTCTTGCTATAGATTTAAATGTTCAAAATATGAGCTCTCAATTGCAATATTACTGATAATAATTGAACACTGTCTAACTGCTATGAAATGGACAGTGGAAAATAAAAATATTTTATGATAGCGCAAAACCAATTTGTGCCTCTTGCTGAATATCCCAATCAAAACTATTCGTCTACATAAACTTTAATTAATTTTTTAAAAAGACACTTCATATCTACACTAATTCTGCATTTTGCCTATTCAAAATTAATTCAGCACTTAAGATGATATTAAATTAAAACTCCAACTAACAGAAGCAAAACAGATTGAGGGATAACATGGTCACATTCATTAGTCTTAAATGAAAATGAAATGTCATTAAATGAAAATGTCTGTAATGCCCCATTGGTTTTCTTATGATACCATACACAATTTAAAGCAGTCTTCTCCCATCTGATGCCTATAAGATGTGTTTAACTTTTATGTCCCAAAATTCTTGGCCAATCTGTATGTTATTCTGCAGCAATGCAACAGTCAGTATACAGAATAGCATTCTGTTCTGCCAACATCTGTATCACTTTAGCAGTGGAAACAACAGTTTCCAAATTATTTGTTTTCTAGAGACGAGGATATAAAGAGAAATTCTCAAGTATTTTCTCCTCAGATAGATGACGAGAAGTTGTACTGGAAGTTTCTTTTGGATACTGAAGACAAGATATTAGAAAATGACTGATAGTTATCTAAGGAGCAAGGTAAAAAGAACAATGCACAACTCTCCCTATATATTTAAGCCTCCCAACAGAGATTTAATGTGACCTTATTAAAGCTAAGCAAACAAAAATGGCAAAATACTAGAAACCTACATCACAATTTTAAGTTCCTATCAGTGTAAAAAGTATGAAACCAGACTTCCTAATATGTAAAAGCCCTCTTCCATGTTTAGGGATTCCTGGGAGTGATATTGGCATTAGGTTACCTCAACCTCTGCTAAGATGAAAAATGTGCGTGTCCTCACTAGGGCTCAAGGTCTAATGTAATTTCTCCTTTCCACCAATATTTATACATCAATAAGTTCCATCTTTCCCCATTTGTATGACATTAACTTTGCTCACTGCTTCCCATAGCCACTAATAAGCAAGCATACAGGCAATGCAGCGTCTGGATACAAAAAGATTGTCTGCATGTGGACTACTTCCTTTACAGGTAGTCCTTGACTTATGGCCATAATAGAGCTCAGAATTATGGTCATAGGTTGAGGCATCATGTTACTGGACCGCACTGTCATTTTGGCATTAAGCAAAGTTCTAATTTGCCTGGCTTTTTAAAACATATGATATCCTTCCAATTTTAAAAATATTCTTGTATTTTAATTACTAGATTTTATGACTATTTGAATTTGTTTTGCTATATCTGTACTTAGCACAAAGTGAATCAATTTTGTGATCTTTTATATTAATGAGACTATAAACTAAAAATTCACTATCATCAGTTAAATATTCAGTGGCTAGACTTGGTATTCAATCAGCAAGAAGCTCACTTGGGAAACGCATTATAATTTACAACCTGAATGAACAATTACAGAACCATTTTGCCATTTAAATAAGTGCAAAGAATCTTTCCTAAAATGCTTCCCCACAGAAAAATAGAAAAAGGAAACAGCTGCTTAGAAATCCAATACACTTGCAAAGTATTTTATGGTCCTATAAAACCTGCTTAAAACAATGTCTACAACAGAAAGCTGGAGAATAGCACTTGTATAATACATGCCTAAATTATAGTGCACCTGTCTTACAAACAGTTAAAGCATTGTTGAAGTTAAAACTCTAAGAAGCTATATATTGGATAGACAAATACTTATTTTATATGCAAACTGCAAACATCCTGGCCACTGCTGAATTGTGCATTCTCTTCCTTCATTTACAATCCAAGATAACAGTTTTACTTTATCATAATCTCATGCATAGTAAACTGTATCTAAGAATTGTAATCTTAGCTAAGCACATTACTTTTAATAGTAGAACTGTGAGTTATCACAAGACTTTTGAGTTATCTAATATCTTGTTGGTTAGATATCATCACTAGATGCTGATGCATCTCACTCAAACTTTATATATAATCTCAAATAATAATCTGAACATACTGGAAGTATGGCTTGTGAGTAAGTCAGCTTTCCAGAAAAGATTGAAGAAATTTAGGAGCACATAAAATAGGTGATGCTGTGAAATGTTTTTTCCCATGCTTACTATAAATGCAATTACAGCATCCATATATCTAATGACAATTTAAACCCTCAAATTAAATTATTCCATTAGAAAGAATTATTAGCAAGCCTATACTTGGTTCAAAATTAATGAATGGAATGATATTTAATTCCTCTGAAGGATACTTCAATAAATATGATAAACTGATCCATTTCTCTAAAAATCCACTCATTAACTGAATAAAAATATTCTTTTCTAATATGTTGTCCCAAGTACCTAACAGAATAAATAAGCATTTATTGACTAATAGGGCTGGGCAAGTCTTAAGATTTAAAGGTGCTTCACTCTACATAGGCATATAAATGCAATAGCTTCTGCATAGTTTCCAAGTTATGAAGAATGGCAGGAGTTGCAGACATATACCAGATCTTAGGCATATATTTGACTTTGAAAATCCTACTGATTAATTTATTGAATTTCACTTAAAATGTACTAAAAGGAAATGGATAACAACCTTCACAGTGAGAATTACAGCCACATATCTCATTTTTTTAAAAAGCCTTACTACCACATGATCCCAACGATTTAATTAACATTTACTTAGCATACTGTTTGACTGGAACAGAAAGGCATGTCAGGAAAGAAATGTCAGGAATGGGAGCAGATTAGAATCTATTATGAAGATGTACTCTTTCTATGTTATTGTATCAAACACTGCTATGGCAATATCAGGAAAATAATCATAGGATTTTGTTTATTAAATCTAATGCATTATGAATGAATTTAGCAGAAAAATAAAAGGAAATGTTTTATCCGAATTCTTTTAAGTCAAAACAGACTTCTATTAATTCTGTATCAAGTAGAGATGGAATAAAATTAAAGACCTTTCCCCCCGCTCCCAAAACCCACGTCTCTAGAAGTTTATAGTAGATAATTTCAGAAACACATATGACAAATAAATCTGACCAGGAAATATATATAATATAATATTTCCAAAGACTATCTATTCATATTCTGTAAGGAACAAGACGAAATGCTGAGCATCCATTCCTGAAACAGCTATCCCTGCTACTGGATCCAATCTGGGTCGGTCACCGGGACCAGATGTATCCATGTTACTATTAGAATAAGCAGGAGTCATAGCTTCTTATCACACACACGAGAGATCACACACCACTCTTCCCATCCACTGTATTATTTAAAATACAGAACAATATTTACCTTTGCTCCATGCTTATGAAGAACTTCCATAACATCATTGTGTGCTCGTTCAGCAGCCACATGCAATGGAGTCATGAAACTAGATTGGAAAAGAGATAAGATTAACAGCTCTCAAAGCTTGCCTGTTCCATCTAAATGCAAATATTGCAATTTCAAAGAATAAACGTACTCCTTGTTTTTTTCATTGACATTGGCTCCTTTCCGAAGCAGTAATTCAGTTACTTGTTTCCGTTTAGGGTGAAGAGAAGACACAGCACAGTGCTGCAAAAGAGACAGCATTGTATAAGAAGATGATAATATAATGTAATATATAATATAATAAAATGTAAGCCACCCAGAGTTGCTGTATTAGTGAGATGGGTAGCATGGAAATTTAAGTAAATAAATACATAAATAAAATAAAATTATGTTCATTTAACTTAAGAGTATGGCACTTTTGTTGTTGTTGTTACAGTAGTTGCAAAGTCGTGTCCAACCCATCTAGTAAAGCATAATTTACGTGATCTCCCCTATTCTTAGCTCTCTATTATCTTTCCTCAAAAATTAGTACCACATGAGCCATGTGAACAAATCTTTCTCAGTCACTTTTTAAATATCCTTGGTTGATTTCAGCCTGGCTTACATGTCTCAAATAGTAGATAGTAAATTGAATAAGCACAAGAGAACAACCACCAAAATCCCACATACATTTAGTCAGCAAGTTTCCAGCAGTCCTCAAAGGCATTATGAACAAATTAGAATAGGTCTAATACTTACTACCTAGACTGGTTTTATTTATTTTTTCTGGAAAGGAGCTAATCTGTTAGGTTTTGTATCTGAGGGAGCAAAATTTCAATCGGAATTTACCATATTTAGAGAGAATGAGAGGTAAAATATTCATTTCAGCTCCTTCCTTTTTTCATGCACTGAATCAAAGAACTATTATAAAAAGATAACCTTCTCTACCATTACTTCCACTAATCATAACAACATTATGTTTTTATCCCATTTTTTCTTCAAATGACTATAGGTCCCTGACAAGGATGTCTCCCTTAATTTTATCCTATAACAAAATCTCATAGTAGAAGTTTGTACAGGAAGGATGAGTGGTCTCAAACTGCCCACTGAATTTCCATAGCCAAAGGTAGCCTTAGACTTGGATTTCCTCAACACTATTCCAATATCTTAATTATAGTGTGATTACATTTTAACAGATTACTTTCACAGAAGAGATAAAATATTGAAGGGACTGCACAATACATTTCAGAGAAAAAAGAAAAAAATGTTTTGGGTCAATGGAAGAGATGTTTCCGTCAGATTTTTTTCTTAACATGACATTAAATCAATAGCAGGTCAAGCATTAATTTCTAATAGGTGAAACTCTATGTATAACTATTGGTATGACTGTACCAGAAAATCTTAAATGTATACACAGCTAAAGCGGAAGAGTGACTCCATGATCTCACCAGTGCTGTCTCATGAGATTGTGGCTGCTTAAAATTAATGACCTCCAAAGCAAGTGTTTTCTTGACTTTGGCTAAATCAGCTTCCCTTGCTGCTTGTAATAAGGAATGTCCTTTGAATTCATCTGCAGAAGGGAAAAAAACATAGTTATGGGTGATAAATATCTGTTGTAAAACCAGATTTATAACAGTGGTGCAGAAAAATAATGTAGAAGGGAAAAAAATCTCTAGTGGACTGTCCCAATATATTATCTCAAATAATTCTTGTGAAAGACAGAAAAACATCCATGATTTAAGAAGTAAAGGCAGTTTTTAATCAAAATAGTTTTCAGTGCAAAATAACATTACTGCAGATACAGTTTCTCTGATAGTCTCTGAAGGTTATTTCAATTCTTTTGACAACTTCAAATAAATAAGGTAGTCAAAACAAAAATGGATGGCAAACAATTTTAAAACAGAAAAGGAGCTACTAAAATTGCAAATGTGGCTCAGGGTTTGCAAATGCCAAAAAGAAAGAAAAAATATAACATCTTCACATATAACCTGACTGAGGTTAGATTGAATCTCTAATCTAGAAAAGAATCTTGAGACTGTAGTAAACAGTAAACAACTCAATTAAAATTCAGTGTGCTAAACTATGAAAAAGACAAATCCCACATTGGGGATTCATTAGGAAAAGAATGAAAATAAAAACTACAAATATGTCTTTCTATTCCATAGTCACACTTAAAATATTATATATATATAAAATTCAAGCTGACACATTTCAAAAACAGCTTTCACAGTGTTAAATACAGCCATTCCTCATTTAGTGGCTACTTGATTAGCAACCATTTGCAAATATAAAAATATAGTAATAAATGATATTAAAAATCATTTTTTGACCAAAGGGGAAAAATAGATATTATACAAGATAACTTTATCTGAATGAAACAGCAACAACTAGTGATCTTCACTGTGTTTCTCTCTCTCTCTCTCAATCACTTAGTGATCATTTTTCTTAATGCCCAAGTCATTGGAATATGATTGCTAAATGAGAGGGTGTAGTACAGGGGTGTCAAACTGGATTTCTTTAAGGGCTGGATCAGCATTGTAGTTCTCCTCCGCGGGCCAGTGAGGGGAGGACGGAAGAGATGAGAGAGATGTCTCCTGCAGCACCCTGCCAGCCAAAATGGGGAATGGGGGGGCACACACTCCCCCCCCCCCCGTGCCCCATTTTGTCTGCCAGAGGCACCACGGGCCGGTCCTTTGCTATTTCCAGGCTGGCCCTGTGGCCTGGAAATAGAAAAATGCTATTTTTTCTGTCTTTCACAAGCATTACGTGCTTAATCTGCTAAGCGCACCATGAGCCAAATCTGGACCACGGGCCTTGAGTTTGACACCCCTGGTGTAGTATATGGAAAGAAGCAGATAATCAAAGAGATAGTGGACCTATCCTATCAACAAATTTTTCATTTGGGAGTTTTTAGGCCAGAAAAGATGGAAATTGTAAACAAGATATAGAGGCCATAACATCAATATACACAATTATGTACTGAATGGAGAAAAACTATAATGAAAATGGATCACCAACTGACTCGGTGCTTTATGAAATTATAAAAATTGTCACACAGATACATAGCGATACCTAAATGAGTTAGCTAGAAAAGTATGGAAGGACAAATTCATGGAAAATTAATGTTTTCAATGATTACTAGTTTTGATATCTATAAATATTAGCTCCAGTACCTGAGATAATAGCACTTCTGAAAACATTAGGCAGAACACTGCTAACACTCATACTGATAGGCTTCCTTTTAGCAGTGATTGAGCAATGGTCAGCTGGACCAAAAACATCTTAAATTCCACAAAGTTCCTAGGCATTTATTTTGTAAGTTTTATTTACAAAATAAAACTTTTTTGTAAGCTCCCAATAATGAGGAAGTGATGGTGATCGGGAATTATGCTATAAATTAAAACATTACCTCTGTAAAAGACAAGGTTAGGCTGCTCCCGACCATGCTCACTTTTAGGAAAGTCTTGAAAACCAGGCTGTTTTCTTGGGCATAGGAGTTGAGAAAGCAACTGAGCCAATATTGCTGGTATGTGGTATCTTTGGTAGCCACTCTATGCTTTAGTTGGTCCTGATATCTATTTTTTCTTACAGTGTATTTTTTAATTTTTTGGTAGCCTCCTGGAGTCATAGTACTGAGATGGGTGGCCACATAAATAAATTTAGATTAATAAGTAAGATTAAATAAAGTAAAATGCATAGGCATAAATCCTTTAAATTTCTCAAATGTTACCAAAAATTCATCAACTGATGGCGAGATACCAGATTAGTCTTCCTTTAAAAGAACAGAATATTGTTTTCAATACTGTAGAAAAGAATGAATTCTGTGGTCTTGCTGAGAATGATAACACCTTGCACATAGTCATACTTACAGGTGAGCCTCTCTTTGAGCTCAGGTGTCGGTGCCATATCAACAGCACTCTTGCCATGACAGTTGACTAATGTTGGATCAGCACCATGGCTGAGTAACAGAGAACAAACTTCCACACGATTCTTGGAAGCGGCTTCATGTAATGGAGTAAACTGCCAGAGATCCATTGCATTAACACAGGCTCCATGCTAAGGAACAAATGTAATAGGAGGAAAAGACAATGGGCATTTTATGTTGCGCCAAGGTTATAATTATTTTTTTAGTTTTAAATACACTAGGTTGGATTATCTGTTTTATGTGATGGAAATCATATTAGAATTTCTAGCTAACATATATGAAGAAATTTAATCATTTCATTTCATTATCTGAACAAATGTATTCTGCTTGATATCGAAAGAGCGAGATTAACACATGAGATATGTTTGCAAATATTAATTGGTATAACAGACCAATTACAATAAATCTTGATATAATAGCACTTGAGAGTCTTTTGTTTATTTCTCAACTTGAAATAACACAAACATGATGACTGGCTTGGGGCAAGTATGGTAGTGCCTGTTCTATGAAACAGCGCCATCTTGTGGGATTCAGGAGACATCCCTTTGCTGTCATGATGCCTGCCCAATGAAACAGCCCCTTTGACCTCTTCTCCACTCCTCCCCAAAAACTGGATGGCCCTGACTTGCTGGGTTATTTTTATTTTATTTATTTTATTTTGTCGAGTACATATTAGATAATATATATAAGTATAAGCATGAATTGAATACATAAAATGAATACAATTAAAGGGAATATCAGGACAGGGATGGTAGGCCCATTGGTGCTCTTATGCACGCCCCCTACAGACCTCTTATGAATGTGGTGAGGTCAACAGTAGAGAGTCTTAGGTTAAAGTTTTTGGGGTTTGGGGATGAGACCACAGAGTCTGGTAGTGCATTCCAGGCATTAACAACTCTGTTACTGAAGTCATATTTTCTGCAATCGAGTTTGGAGCGGTTCACTTTATGTTTGTATCTATTGTGTGCTCGTGTATTGTTGTGGTTGAAGCTGAAGTAGTCATTGACAGGTAGGACATTGTAGCAGATGATTTTATGAATTATGCTTAGGTCATACCAAAGCAAAAGTCCATCAAAGTCTGGCTTCCCTTTCAGGGGTTATGACTGCTAAAGAAATCCACAATGTGTGTTTCAGGGGCTATGAGTTACTTGCAAAATACCTTGGCTCTTTATATTCTTTTTTTTGGGGGGGGGGGCTTTAATTTATATGCCGCCCTTCTCCAGAGACTCAGGGCGGCTTACAATGGGTTAAGCAATAGCCTTCATACTTTTGTATATTTATACAAAGTCAGCTTATTGCCCCCACAATCTGGGTCCTCATTTCACCTACCTTTGAAAGGATGGAAGGCTGAGTCAACCTTGAGCCTGGTGAGATTTGAACTTGCAGTAATTGCAAGCAGCAGATGTTAATCTGTTAATAACAGTGCTTTAGTCCACTGTACTACAGGCTATTTAATTTCATTCTTATTTTTAATAGTTATTCACTTAGGTTAGGCAGCCCTGTAAATTTTCTAAATAAATAAATCTGTCCTACAATCTAGATGAGAAAAATAGAATAGGAATGTAATCATTTTTGACTTATTAAAATTAAACCAGAGTAAAAGGAGGTGCATTTTTTTAAAAAAAAATAATAATTTAACAAAATTGGCGACAACTTTTAGTTTTCTTTTAATGATGAATTATTTTAAATAAGAAGTGGCCTTTTTTAATACGAAACAGGGAGCTCTAAAATATTTTCTTTATCAACATCACAAAGGCATACAAATTATCTCACATGCAATACAATGTACAATTTGTAAACAGAATAAAACCCTTCACGTTAATGACAGTCTTTATATAATTACATAATTATTAACTTATCCACCTTCAACAGCAATTCTGTAACTTCATAATGTCCATAGGAACAAGCATTGTGTAGCGGCACAAGTCCACTATAACAAAGGGGAAAAAACATTGTTTAACTATTCAGAAAAATAATTCTTCACTACATTGCACCATATATTTTATCTGCTTTAATATTTTGCTTGGGCTAATGCATTTGGCAAATTGTTTATTTTTAAAGCTTTGCAGAGTTCTAATGTTTCCAGCTTGCATAAGTGTAGAGTGGTATCTTTCTGGGGATTCTTTTGTTTTTCTCTATTTTGGGCTTATTGTTTGTCTAACTGCTGTGTGTACAGTTACATTTCATTAAAGGACATGTTTTACAAATATTTTAAAGGACTATTTCACAGTTTTTATATTTTTATTCCACTCAAAATTTCAGACATAAAAAACCATGAGTAAAATAAGCCAACTTCCATGAACCAGTTTCAAACAAGTTAGAATAGTGATATTCCATCTAAAAGCGAAACATGATTTGCTTCTTGGAAAAAGTTCAAACTTTCAAATCAACCAAATCACTATCTTATATTTACTGATAATCATGCTAGATTCATCTGAATGGCTCACAGAATATTACTCATGCAAATATACACTGCAACAAAATATGCTAAGATGGAAATCAAAACAATATCAGAGAATAATGAAGGAAACAGAAATTACAAATATACACAAAATTTAAACAAAAGCAACCAGGTTTAAATGATTTAGGGGGGAGGGAAGAGTTTTGCCTGGCCTCAAAATAGTACCTATTCTGTGAATGTCATTCTGAAAAGGTGCTTTCACCCATACTCTTCTACCATCATATTAGCACTATCAAAACCAAATTATACAATTTTACATACCCTTTATCTTTTGCATGGACATCAGCACCATGCTGAAGTAAAAGCTGGACTATACGAACTCTGTTATATCCTGCAGCCAAATGTAATGGGGTAGACTGTAATAAGAAACAGTAATTAAAGAACATAAGCATATTCCAAGTTAAACCAAATCTTTACGTTGACATACAATAATTACAAATAACAATGCCAGCTGAGTATGTATTATCAAAATACTTAACTCAAATTGCAGCTTTTCATCCTGTATAGCAAAATACTTTTGCTGGACAAAACGAGGTGGGTGGAGTTACCAAAGGCTAGAAGTAATATAATGTTCTTTTTTCTTTGTATTTTTTTACCTTTTTTTCTAAAAAAATCTATGTATGTTTTTTTTCTTTGTCCATGTATTTTAATTTTGGGGTTTCACTATTTTCTGTTTTTCTGTCATTGTTTTCAAAACAATAAAGAATAAAATCTGAAGAATAAAATTCTAAGCACTTAGTACTGAATAACATGAACTTAGTTTAAATCTTTTTTAAAAAATTTTAAAATGGCATTTACAATCTTTAGATCAACTAAATGAAGTTTAAATATGGAGGAACAGGTTTAAAATATATTTTATACATACAATTTATCCTGTCTGCTATTTTATGGTAGCCAATATTTTTCTTGAGGTTTCTCTTTCTTGTTTTTGCCAGGTTTCTCCAGAATACCAGGCTTTATTTCTCTGGATTATCCTATAGAAAGACTAGGGAGAAGGTCCCTAAACAAACTCAATTACAGGGCAATCAAGTCAAGACAGTCTTCTGTGCCTGGTTTATGGTATTTGTGGCTAATATAAACTTCTCTCTTCTCTGCAATTCAAGACGCAATAGTCCTACTCGGCTATTATCCTCTGAGGATGCCTTTTCCCTATTCGGCAACTACAGTATTGTGCTTCTGGCACCAAGACTAAAATAGCTTCCATAACCAGCATACTGTATAAAAACTCAAGGTATCGGGATCACGATAACACTGGGTTTTCCATGCGAGTTCTTCCTCTCAGCCTGTACAAAATTATAGAGCTGCCATGCCAAGCAATGCCACAGAAACTTGACTTCAAAAATCTTTCACAAGAAGCTGCAATTTTCAGTATTTCTTCCATTTAATGTTTTTGAGCGGTCTCGTCTTTAAGGATTTCGCCTCTTGGAAAAAAAGCTATACTATGACTTGATTATTAATCATTCTCATAGTAAATGTGGCACATAGTAAATGTGGAATCCATAAAGATTTAGCAAGCCCATGACACAACACTGAAAGCAACAACGATCAATTTCAGTTTATATACAGTTCCCTAAAACGTAAGGCTATATGTTAATTGAGTAAATGAACTGACAAATCTTTCAATTATAGTTATTAAATATTTAAGCACAAATGAATAAATTATAATTTCAGAAAAGGAATTCTATATCACAGGTTTCTGGACTTTGGGATCTCAATTGGGCCTTATCTTTTGCAGACACAATTAGGATTAGGAGAAGAGCTACAAAATCCTCTAAGTCGAGAATTTTATCAAGTAGCAGGGATGGGATTTTTTTTTTCTTTTTACAAAGCCTCTAAAGCAAACAAGATCACAGATGTTTGTAATATAATGTCCCTAATTAGAACTAGAAATCTGCTTCGCACACCATAGAAAAGTAATAAAATTAATTTCATAAACACCATTCAACACTTTCTGATTTCTGATTGAACGTAATTATCTGGATAAATAACTAATTCAAGGCAACATTAACATGTAGTGCTAACCACTTCAGAATAGGCAAGGAAGAGGAAAACTTTCCTTCTTTCTGCCTTTCCTTTCCTTTCCTTTCCTTCCCTTCTTTCTTTTTTCCTCTCCTTCCCTTCCCATCATTCCAGCCTTCAATATAGCTTAAAACAACTCCAGATGTTTCCTCTAATCAACACAAACAAGAATCTGGAGCTCAGAAGAGCAATAGTGAAGTAACTGAGGCCTGTAAGACAATTTTAAAAAAGCACTTCCATCATTCTTCCTGACCTTTCTTGCTGATAACTTTATTCTCCAAAGGGTGGTAGAAGGCTCAGAACAGTTATCATTGACTAGCTAATGGAAGATGGTAGATCAATGAATTGGAAAAATCAGAAATGTTGGGAAAACTGATTATGTAATGCCTGAGTTTTTGACTTTAAATTAGACTAGATATAAGCAAAATCCTATGTTTAGCTTTAGAAAAGTAGATTTAAGTAAATATAGAGTAATACTAAGGAACATTCTGCCCAAGAAAAAGTTAATGGGAAAAGAAGCACAAGATGGACTGGAGTTCCTATAAAAGGAGGTACTAGAAGCAGAATAACAAATAATTCCCAGAAGAGAAAAATAGAATACTGAAAAAGCCAATGTGGCTGCTATGAAAAATGGGGGGGGAGGGGGGGAGAGATACACTGATGTGTCTGGTACTATAAATAAAACAAATTTAAAAAGATACATACAGAATTTACAAAGAGAAGAAATCAAGACAGTAGGTTAGTTAGAACTGCAGAAATGGTTTCAGAAAAACTGAAATGAAGTAGAAAGGGCAAACATCTCATCTGGAGCCAAACCCCAGAAAATAAAGCAAAATAAAACAATTTTGACAGGTCAGAGAAAATAAAAGAATTACATTTAATGAAGGAGAATGTGGGGATTCTTTGTTTTCCAAGGACTGGAAACACCATAGCATAAAAGGTAACTACAAAGTGCTTTATTGTAGCACACATCTTTCCTTATAATAGGCTTTTGCTCTGGGTTAACTCACCCCTCCACTTTTGTGAATTGATGTGCCACATATATAAGCCTTTTAGTCCTTGTAACAAATAAAAATCTTAAAAGTTGTAAGGTGACATGCAACCTTTGCCTCTCTCCATTCTTCAAATACCTGAAGGGATGCTATATAGAAGAAAACCAAAACCTGTTCGCTATTGTCCCAAGATGTGGGACCTGAAACAAATCAATCATTTTAGAGGAACACTTGACTGTTAGGGGAAAAAAATAGTAAAAGACGGCTGATACTCCAATCAACTACTCAGAAAGAGCAATCTGAAACTATCTTTTACTGGAAGTGTTCAAGTAAAGACTGGATGAGCCTGATTTACCATATTTTTCGGAGTATAAGATGCACCTTTCCCCCCAAAATAGAGGGTGAATGTAGCCCCGCCTAGCCTCTCAAACGGAGGTTTCAGAGGCTGAAAAAAGTCTCAGAAACGAAGCTTCAGAAAAAAAAGCCTCCGAAACAGAGCTTCAGAAAAAAAGCCTCTGAAACAAATTTTCAGAGGCTTTTTTTCTGAAGCTCTGTTTCAGAGGCTTTCAGAGGCAGAAAAAAAATGTTTTTTCTGAAACAAGTGTTTCAGAAGTTTCAGAGGCTGAAAAAAAAGCAAGGCACAGAGTTCACAACCAATGAACCTGTTGCTAAAATTCACCTCTGGGAACAGCTAATTGGGGGTATTCTAGGAAGTCGATCCACCCACCAATCAGCTTTTTTCTTATTTTCCTCCCCCAAAACTAAGGTGCGTCTTATACTCTGGTGTGTCTTATACTCCAAAAAATATGGTAAATTTCTGCAGAGGATGAGATTCGACACCATCTATTAACTAGACCCATGATGGTGAACCTATGGCACGCAGTGCCCTCTCTGATGGCACACAAGCCGTCATCCCAGTTCAGCTCTGCTGCACATGCATGCGCGCCTCCCGCCGGCCAGCTGGCAGTTCGAGTCTCTGCTGTGCATGTGCAGGAGCGGGGCACATGGGGGGCACACTCGCATGCACAAGGGCCGCACGTGCATTGCATTTTGGGGGTTCGGGCATGCACATGCGCTTTGGACACTCAGTCCGGAAAATGTTAGCCATCACTGAATTAGACTGTTTCTTCCAATTCTATATCCCATGGTGGCAAATCTATCTATCTATCTATCTATATATTTATATTTATTAAATTTATATCCCGCCCTTCTCCCCGAAGGGACTCAGGGCGGTGAACAGCTGAGAATTAAAATAATATACAATATAAAAGTTAAAATAATTAAAAATAAATTAAATAAATTAAATTAAACGGCCGCCCCAATTTAAAACCCCTAGCAATACAATTAAAAAACTAACCCATAAAACCTATTCAGGCCAGGCCAGCTTGCTGAAATAAAAACGTCTTCAGGGCCTTACGGAAAGTGCGGAGATCCGGAATCAGCCGTATTCCGGGAGGTAGCTCGTTCCAGAGGGCGGGTGCTCCCACAGAGAAGGCTCTCCCCCTGGGGGCCGCCAGCCGACATTGCTTGACCGACGGCACCCTGAGGAGGCCCTCTCTGTGAGAGCGTATTGGCCAGTGGGCGGTTATCTGTAGCAGCAGGCGGTCTCGTAAATACCCTGGCCCTAAGCCATGGAGCGCTTTAAAGGTGAGAACCAACACCTTGAAGCGCACCCGGAAGACCACCGGGAGCCAGTGCAGCTCGCGCAGGAGGTGTTATATGAGAGCGCTATGTCGCTCCCGTGATCACCCGCGCGTGCCAAATGTGGCACACAGAGCCCTCTCTGTGGGCATACACAAAGTCACCCCAGCCCAGCTCCAATCGCGTTTCTCCATCGCGTTTCACTCAATCAATTCCAACTTCTCGCAAAAGAAAAAGATCTCACAAAGTTGAAATTCATTGAGTGAACGTTTTCACTTGTGCGCTTCACAATGGGGGAGATGGGGTCCCGTCCTTCCTCCTGAAGCCCATTAGGACGTGGAGCCACAATGCAACCCTGCATCGGCCTCGGAAAAAGAAAGGAGTTTCTTTTCCTGCAGAGCTGGCTGCCTGTGTTGGGATGCCCCGCCCCCCCGCAAGCCAGTTGAGCATGGGCATGCTGCTCCTGGGTTAGTCGGCCTTTGGACGTCATTCCCACCACCCAGCACCAGTTCAGGGGTATCTTCCCATGGAGGGGGGACAGAAACAGAGAAACAGAGGGAGGCAGACAGGGAGGGAGAGAAAGAGAAACAGAGAGGGAAAAAGAGAGAGAGAGAGAGAGAGAGAGAGAGAGAGAGAGGGAAAGAGAGGGGGGAAGGAGAAATTATATTAGAAACGTTTTTCTTTTTTATTGTTGCTAAATGTAA